GCACAAAAGACCCCAGATAGCCAGTGTAACCCTGAGCACAAAGAGCAATACTGGGGGGATTACTATACCAGATCTCAAACTATACTACAGAGCTATAGTCATAAAACAGCATGATACTGGCACAAAAATAGACACATAGATCAATGGAATATCATTGAAGACCCAAACCTGAGCGTACACAATTTCAGCCACCTGATATTTGACAAAGTTGCCAAAAACACACAATGGAGGAAAGACAGCATCTTCAACAAATGGTGCTGGCAAAACTGGATCTCCACCTATAGAAGAATGAAACTAAATCCTTATCTTTCACCTTGCACAAAAGTAAACTCCAAATGGATCAAAGACCTCAATGTGAAGCCTGAAACTCTGAAACTGTTAGAAGAAAACATTGGCAATAACCTACAAGATATAGGTGTAGGAAAAGATTTTCTAAACTGGACAGGGACTGCTCAGGAAATAAGGTCAAGAAACAAATGGGACCTCATTAAACTAAAAAGCTTCTGAACATCAAAGGAGGGAACCAGGGAAGTGAAGAGAAAACCCACAGAATGGGAGAAAATCTTCACAAGTGACACATCCGACGGAGGTTTAATATCCAGAATATATAATGAACTCAAAAAACAGAATCAAGACAAGAAGTAACCCAATTAAAAGATGGGCTAAGGAGCGGATCAGAGAGTTCTCAAAAGACGTAAAGATGGCGATGAAGCATCTTAAAAGATGTTCAACATCACTAATAGGGAAATCCAAGCATCCTTAACAGCTAAGCCATCTTGTCAACTCATTCATTCATTCATTTTTGGTCTTTTTGAGACAGGGTCTCCCTGTAGCCCCAGCTGTCCTGGAACTCACTATGGAGTCCAGGCTGGCCTTGAATTCACAGAGATCTTCCTGCCTCTGCCTCCTGAGTGCTGAGATTAAAGGCGTGCACTACCACGTCCGGCAACCCCTTTTTTTTTCAAATATTGTGTATGTGTATATATGAGATATATCAGATGTCTTATTACATTCATTCATTTAGTGTGTGCTTGCACATGACACACACACCACAGCATATATATGGAAGTCAGAAAACAACTTTCAGGAATTGGTTCTCTTTCCACTATGTGGGTTGTATTAGTCTCTTTTCTGTTGCTGTGATAGAAACACTGACCAGAGCAGTTTATAGAAGGAAGAGTTTATTTGAGCTTACGGTTCCAGGGGAATTACAGTCTGTCATGGCAGGGAGGCATGGTGGCTAGAGGTGGCTAGAGCAGGAGCAGCAGAAGCTAAGCTCTACATCTTCCAGCAGGAACAGGAAACAAGAGAGCAACTGGAAATCTGGCAAGGCTTAAGAACTCTCTAAGCCCACCCCTAGTGACATGCTTCCTCCAGGATAACCACACCTTCTAAAACCTCCCAAAACACCATCTGGGGACAAAATGTCCAAATACTTGGAGCCTATGGGGGATATTTTCATTCTAACCATTACATGGGTCCTAGAGATCAAACTCAGGTCATGAGGTTTTGGCAACAATAGTCTTTATGCACTAAGCCTCCTTGCTGGCCCAGGAGATTTTTTTTCCCCCATGATACGAGTTACAATTATTTCACACGTAGTTGGCTCATGTCTTCCCCCATTATGATTGTATTTGCTTTGACAGGATATTCTGAAAAAAGACCTTCTGAATTTGAGTTCTTGCTCAGAGTTCCCAAGTGTTCTATAACCTTGCACAAGTCATTTAACCTCTCCATCACTCAATTCTTCAGTAAGGTGGTAATATTGATAAGGCATACTTCACTGAGTTGCTATAATTAAAAGAATGAATAGGGGCTGGAGAAATGACTCAGCGGTTAAGAGCACTGACTGCTCTTGCAGAGGACCCAGGTTTGATTCCCAGCATCCACATGGAGGCTATGAACCATCCTTAACTCCAGTTCCAGGGGAATGTGAAGTCCTCTTCTGATCTCTGAGGCATTGCAGGACACAGGTGCACTCACATACATGCAGGCAATACACTCGTACACATAAAAAATAAAAATAATAAAGAAAATATTTTTTTAAAAAAGAATGAATATACAGAAAGGGCTTTGAATAAGATAAGACCCAGAAAGACAAATACCAATGTTTTCTCTCATGCAGAATCTAGATTTAAGTGTGAGAGAGATGAGAGAAAGAGAGAGAGAGAGAGAGAGAGAGAGAGAGAGAGAGGAAAAGGGGATTCTGGAGAGATGGCTTAGCATTTAAGAGCACTGACTTAAGTGGACCTGGGTTTGATTCCCAGCCCCAACATGATAGCTAACAGCTGTCCGTAACTCCAGTTCCAGGGGATCCAACACCCTCTTCTACCTCCAAGGGCATCGCATGACATGCGTGCAATCATGTGCATGAACACAAAACACTGATACACATAAAATTTAAAAAATAATAAAATTTTAAAAAAGAGAAAAGTAGAAAGGGGATCATGAGAGTGGAGGAACAGACCTTAAGGGAAAGGGGAGAAGGGCAGTGGGGGAAGACACAAAAAAGTACAATGATGCTGGGTGTGGTGGCGCACACCTTTAATCCCATCACTTGGGAGGCCGAGGCAGGAGGATCCCTGTGAGTTCAAGGCCAGCTTGGTCTACATAGTGAGTTCCAGGACAGCTGGGGCTACAGGGAGACCTTGTCTCAAAAAGACCAAAAAGAAAAAAAAAAGTATAATGACATATATTCATGAAAATGCCACAATCAAATTCATTACTTTGTACACTAACTTTAAAAATTAATTTAAAAAAGAAAGACCTGGCACAAAGCAAAGACTAGAAAAATACTACTTAAGCTAAGCATGGTGGTGTACACCTGTGGTCTCAGCAAGGCAAGAGACTCTCAATGAATACAAGACCAGGCTGGACTACATAGCGAGATAGAGAGAGAGTTCTAGGCTAGCCTGAGCTAGATGGTGAAACCCTGTCTCAAAAAAGAAAAAGGGCACGTGAGCAGGCACATGTTATTTATTTGCATGTGTGGTGACACATGTGTTCAGGTGCGTGTACACATGTACATCCATGTGTGTATGTAGAGGCTAGAGGTCAACCTTGGGTATCACCTTGATTTTTGAAGCAGAGTCTCTCGCTGGAACCTAGGGCTGGTGGGCCAGGCAGCCCCAGAGATTCTGCTGTCTCATCTCCCTAGTGCTGGAGTCACAAGTGAACTCTACCATGCCTGGCATTTTTCACTAGTTCAGGGGAATCAAACTGAGGTCTTCATGCTTATATAGGAAGCACTTTACAGACTGAGCTATGGCCCCAGTCCAAAGGTATTTTTTTCAATGTAGATAAATTTAATACTGAATCATTCTAGATTAAATTTCAAAGAAAAACTATTGCACTGACTTCAGATTCTGGGGTTAAATTTTTTTTTTTAATTTTATGTGTATGGGTGTATTGCCTGCATGTAGGTAAGTGCACCCATGTCATGCAATGCCCATGCAATGCCCGCAGAGGTCAGAAGAGGCTGTTGGATCCCCTGGGACTGGAGTTATGGACAGTTGTTAGCTGCCATGTGGGTGCTGGGATTCAAACCCGGGTCTTCTGCAAGAACAACCAGTGTTCATAACCTCTGAGCCACCTCTCCAACCCCTGGGGTTAAATTTTTTTAAGTATTTCTTTTTATTTTTGGGTAATATATACCGACTAGACATCAAGCTGAATTTCTAACACAAGGTGCTTAATCACTGGAAGCCATGGAGCTGGCACTAACTGAGCTGCTTCCTGGTCAGAGCATTTACTCCCCAAGACTTCCCCTCAGCATGCATCTGGTCCTCATTTTACCCAGGAGGAAGCTGGGCTAGGGATGTTAGAGGACTTGCTCCAGGCTAGTTTCCTTTGTGTATTGTGTATCTGTTACAAGTCCCCAAGGCAAAACCCAGTGCCTACCCCCACAGTTCCCAAGGTGGGAGCAGAGACAGTGAGCAGGCTCTGCAGTCATTTATTCACCCCACAAACCCCCAGCCACCTCCTCCTCCTCATTCCTCCAGGAACCTCAAAGTTTTAACACAGAATCCTGTCTGCCTCCTCCAAGAGTTCAAGCCAGAGACTCTTCCCGGATAATCTCTCATCTACCCCGCCCTCTATCCCAGATGCAAACTCCCTGACAGCCCTTCACAAAGACAGGTGCTATCCTCTGGAGATTGTCCCTAGGCCTAGGTCTGGGCAACTCACCAATCTTTGTAGCCAGTTACTCCTCCTACCCCCCCACCCTTTGGTGTTCTCAAGCCCCAACCACCTTGCCTGATTTGCTTCCAAGTTCCTCTCCCAATCAGCCAGTCCAACCTACTAACTAGTACTACTTGAACAGGCTTCTAGCCACAGAGCCACTCAGCTTGAAACTTCTCTTTTGTCTTCTTCAGGACAGGTCACAAGCTTCAGTTCAAGCTTCAGGCAGCTGCTCAATACTTACCTCGCTGACTTTCCTCACTACCTAGCACCTGTATCCAACACCTAGTTTGCACCCAACACCTAGTTTCTAATAGGTCCAGTCTCTCACAGGGCCTGGATTTGGAAGACATAGGATAAAGTTAGGCCTGCTGGAAGTCTCCACCAAATTTGGCCTGTTTGATCCCAGCTCTTCTCACACAACTGTCCTGACCAAGAACCCATCACAGGCTTCCATCTTCCTTATGGTTGTTTGTGGGGTCAGCTGGTGCTTGGTACAAGCACATCAGAGATCATTCTAGAAATACTGGTTGTATAAATAAACCTTGATCATTAAATTAAAATATTTTATCAATTGGCTAGTTACAATGGAAGGCCCCGCCCCAAGTACTCCAGGCCTCACCCCAAGAGAGACAGGCCCCGCCCCTCCCTCAGGCCCCGCCCCAAGCACGAGGGGCTGGGGCACGCCGGGCCTAGTCCGAGAGAAGTCCTAAGTCCCGCCCTCTTTAGAAGACTGCCCGTATTAGAACGGACAGACAGAAACCTCATCCAATGAGAAGACAGAGACGCTCGCCGTAGCCCTATGGGCTGCTAAGACACAAAACACGTCGTTGGCTGCAGCTTCCTGGAAAGTCGTGTCGCGCACGCCTGGCTGCTTTCCTGCCAGTGGTCCTGTCGGCGACCTGGAGGACGGTGTGCGTAGGTAATCGTGCTCTGGCTGTAGGCGCGACGGAAGATGTCCGGGGTGTCCCCACGCAGAGGTCTACGTGCCGTTGGGTGCCGGGAAGGCCAGACAAGAGGTGGGAGTGAGCGCGTGGGACGCGAGGGAGACGGCGTGGGCGGTGGGCCTGACAGGTCCTGCGGTGACTGGGTCGGGCCGGCGACCCCAGGGTCACCTTGCAGCGTCTGGCCGGAAGGTTCCACCTTTTACCCGGCAGTGGCTGGGCCAGAGACCTTGGGCTGGGCTGTGATGGAACACTGCAGTACCTTTTCTTTTTTTGAGACAGGGTAGCTCCAGCAGGCTTAGAACTCACTGTGTAGAACCAGGCTGGCCTTGAACTCGCAGAGATCCGCCTGCCTGTCCCTCCAAAGTGCTGGGATCAAAAGCGTGCGTCACCACCCCGGGTGTACTACCTTATTTTTATTTTTTTTAAGTTAATTTTTGTTTTAATTAAGTGTATGTGTGCGCGCGCGAAGCGTGTGTGAGAATACAGTCGCCCATGATCGCGCAGAGGCCAGAGAAAGATGTCTCCTGGCCTACTCTTATCAATCACTCTGCCATATTTCTTTGAGACCAAGTCGCTCAGTAAACCTGGAGTTAAGCTGGCAGTCAGTAGGGGAGCCTTCCCTCGTGGGTGCTGGGGATTAGAACTCAGGTCCTCGTGCTTGCACAGCGGGCTCTTTTAAAGGCTCTGAGCCATCCTCATAGCCCTAGTAGTGTCTCTATCAGATACAGTAAGTGAAATGAATTGGTGGCTTGCCCCAGGTTTTTTTGTTTTGGGTTTTTTTGAGACAGGGTCTCTCTGTCGTCGCCGCTGACCTAGAACTAAGGGAGATCCGCCTGCCTCTGCCTTTTGAGTGCTGGGATTAAAGGCATGCACCACCACGCCAGGTTTTGCCCTAGTTTTGCCTGAGCTGGTATGTGGAAAATTTCAGTAAGCCTCAGTGTGAACCAGCCTCTGTTCAATGCCACACCAGGTTGTGCGTTAGAAAGTCAGCCTTGCCTTACCATTTTCTCAGAATCCGGATGCATCTGGTCTCCCCATTGTTGTCGCACCCCCTCCACCTTGGAGGTCCATAGACATTGTCTTGCAGATGGAGTGGGGCAGTAAGAAGGAAAGAAGGCCGATTTGGTGATGCATGCCTTTAATCCCAGCACTCCGGAGGCAGAGGCAGGCTGATCTCTGAAATCCAGGTCAGAGATCAAGGCCAACTTGGTCTACCTAGGGAGTTCCAGCCCTGCTGGGGCTACAGGGAATCCCCGTCTCAAAATAAAAAGGGGTGGGGGTAGGGAAGAAGACCAAGGGTCATGGCCTTAGTTGTAAGAAACAGTGGAAATTATAGTTGAGGTGGTTCCTGTGGGTCTCCTGGCTACCCAGAGGTCTGGCCAACAGATGAAATCCCTTTTTACATTGCCAGCGTGACTGATTATATTGCCTAACTCTGTGAGCTTCAGTTGCACATTGTAAAATAGGGTTCAGTTTATTTTGGTGTGTGGTGTGTGAGGTGTGTGCACAGGCCGATATGTGCCTGTACCTCCCAAGTGCAGGGATTACAGACATGCCCCAACACACCCAAATGCCCAGTTTACTTCATGTCCTTCTCAAATGCTGAATGATGGATGTGCCACCTTTTGTTTACCCCTTGATCCGCTGAAATTATCTCTACTTTTCAGCTGCTTTTGAATAATGGTGCTGTGAACACTAGTGCTAAATTTTGGTATAGCCATATGTTTTCATTTTTCCAGAGAATATACCTAGGAAAAAACTTGTTGGACCGTATGGTAACTGTCATTTTTGTTGTTTTAATTTCTTTATTTTAAATATTTTATTTTTCTATTTTATGTGTATGAGTGTATTGCCTGCATGTAAGTACACCTGTGTCATACCATGCCGGTAGAGGTCAGAAGAGGGTGTTAGATTCCCTGGAACTGGAGTTAGGACAGTTGTTAGCTGCCATGTGGGTTCTGGGAATGGAGCCCAGATCCTCTACAAGAGCAGCCAGCACTCTTAACCACTGAGCCAGCACATCATCCCCCAGCTCTATCATTTTAATTCTTTTTTGGTCTTTTAAAAAACTTTTTTTTTTTTAAATATTTTATTTATTATTTTTATTTTATGTGTATGAGTGTTTTGCCTGCGTGTGAGTGCACTCGTGTCGGGCAGTGCCGCAGAGGTCAGAAGAGGGTTTCGGATTCCCCTGGAACTGGAGTTAAGAACAGTTTGTAGCTGCCATGTGGGTGCTGGGAATCAAACCCAGGTCCTCTGCAAGAGCAGTCAGTGCTCTTAACCACTGAGCCATCTCTCCAGCCCCTATTTTATTTATTATTTTTATGTATGTGTATTGCCTGCATGTAGGTAAGTGCACCCGGGTCCTGCAGTGCTCGAGGTCAGAAGAGGCTGAGGGATCTCCTGGGACTGGAGTAATAGACAATTGTTAGCTGCCATGTGGGTGCTGGGATTCAAACAACCAGTGTTGCAAGAACAACCAGTGTTCTTTCTTAACCGCTTCTCTCCAGCCCCTTTTTTGGTCTCTTTTGAGACGGGGTCTCTCTGTAGCCCAAGCTGGCCTGGAACTCACAATGTTGAATAGACCTGCTTGGCTTCAAACTCAGATTGGCCTGCCTCTGCCTTCATAGTGCTGTGATTAAAGGCTGTACCACCATGCCCCTCTTTAGTGGGGGGGGGGTGTTTTTGAGTTTTTTGTTTTGTTTTATTTTTGAGACTCTCCCTGTAGCTTCATCTGGCCTGGAACTTGCTATATAGACCAGGCTGACCTCAGAGATCCACCAGCCTCTGTCTCTGGTTAAAGGCATGGGCCACCACACCTGGCTCAGCATGAAAGTTTTTGATGAAATAGAGTCGTATCCCCCCTATGCTTTAGGCGTCCATGTCTAAGAACCATTTATTGCCTAATCCATGATCTAAAGGTTTAGAACTTGGATGCATTTCAGTTCATCTTTGCATGTGATATGAAATATGTGCCCAAGTTTCTTCTCCGCAACCACTGATCTCCATCATCATCCTGTCTTAGCTGGGACTACAGGCATACACCAGTGCATACTGCTGACTCTTACAGTCTTTTGGTTTACTTTCCTAGGATCAATTCTCAGAAAAAGGAAAACAAGTACATGTATAAGTTACTTGATAGATATTGTCTAATTACATTCCAAAAAGATAAACTGTACTTAGTTATTGAGATGTCTTTCCAGAATAACATTCTATTGGAACTTTTCTTCACACCTTCAGGTACTTAAAATTTTTTCTGGAAGGCAAAACCAAATTCAACTCCTGCAATGAATCTAATGTCAGTGTCTGTGCTCAGAGGAGCAGGTCCAAAGGTGGCAGATGCTCCTTTCCTTAGCAGATTGTCACTGACTGCTGCCCTCCTAGACCAGGGCATCTCAGCCTTGCAGTATTTAGGGTTGGGGAATTCTTTAGTATTAGGAGCTCTCCCTGGACATTGTAAAATGGCTGGCCACATCCCTGGTTTTTTTTTGTTGTTGTTGTATGGGGCAGGCGGGGGACCTCAGTCTCCTTGTAGCTCCCGCTGGCCTAGAACTTGATATATAGACCAGGCTGACCTCAGAGATCCACCAGCCCATCCCTTCTCCACAAGTTGGGACAGACAAAATCATCTCCAAATATTTCCAAATATATATCCCCTGGTAGACAGACTGTCCATGGTTAAGAAGGAAGATCTACACCATGATGTGCACTGTAATTCATATTGCTGCAGGTGAAACTGACAGTACTTTTATATTGAATTCACACTATGTATTTAACTTTGGAGCCACATTTGATTTGGTCTTTGTCACCATGTACTGATGGCTTTCTAATTGGTTCCTTTAGTCTCAGTCCCTCTCCAGATTCCCAGATCTGTATCTGGATTTCAGCTGCCTGCTTCATGAGATTAGTTGTCCAAAATTAGACTCCTCAAACTGCTCGGCTCCTTTATCTGTGGTCTCCTAGTTCCTGATGCCACCAGTTACATACTTCCCCATTCTCCATTCTACCCCTCTTCTCCCATGAGGTGTCCCTCCTAGATCTTTCCCTTCGCTGCTGCCTCTATACTTTGTGAGAGAATTTATCCCCTGGGTAGCTGTAGCTGTCCTCAGCTCTCTTGCTACCTATGGGGCTGCTGTCTTTGTGACAGGCATAACTGCCACTCCCTTAGCACCTCAAGTCACATACTGCCTTCCTTCCTAGCCTCCCCTTGCCTTGTATTTAGACTCTGTGCCAAACTACCTACAAGCTCCTTACCCTACCACTTTGCCTGGCAATACATCCCAGCCTATCCACACAGGGAAGCCCCTCCCTTCTTTCCTGCTATACCAGGAGAGTCTGGTCTTTGCCCTCATCCAGCACTGCTCTTGCTGGGCAGTGAGTCATGCCACGAGACAAGGGCCACAGCTCTGCCCGCCCTTGAGTGCCTAGCTCAGTGCTTGAGCAGAGTAGGCGCTGTGTAAATGTGAACCAAAACAGCCAGAGCAGAAGGAGGCACCTAGAATTTAAAGTGAAGTCAGCTGTTCGTGGAGCTCAGCAGCAAGGCACGGGGCCCTGGATTGAGCCCCCACCACCACAAAAATAAGCAGCAGGTTTTGTTTTATTTTTATTTTTTCCAGCTCAGCAGTAATTTGCACATAGCCAACTAGGTCAACAGGCACCAAGAATAGAAAAAAGCAACACTTAGGCCAGGTGTGGTGGCACATGCCTTTATTCCCAGCACTCTGGAGGCAGAGGCAGGCAGATTTCTGTGAGTTCAAGGCCAGCCTGGTCTACATAGTGAGTTCCAGGCCAGCTGGGCTACAGGAAGACCTTGTCTCAAAAAGACCAAAAAAAAAGCAACACTTAATCTTTTGCCCTGAGTTCAGTCTCCAGCAGTGTAACAAACCAAAAAGGAATTCATACAAACATGAGACAGTAGTATATAAACAGTCAAATAAATGCAAGTATAAACCATAGCAAGAATATTGAGAGGGAATTGCACTTTAGGAAAACATACTTTTCACCCTTAAATATGCGGGGGGGGGCGGAATCTTTGGTTTTGAGCTAAGGGATCATGTAGCTTGGGCTAGCCTCAAACTCCCTATGTAACCCAGAGGATGACTTTGAACTTGTGGTCCTCTTGCCTTAGCCTCTCAAGTCCTGGGATTACAAGAGCACCAGTGTGCCCTCAGCTAGGGGCTTTTGGTGTGGGTGTGAGTGTGTGTGGGTGTGTGTGTGGGTGTGTGTTTTAACCTTTTATGTGTATGAGTGTATTGCCTGAATGTATGTAAGTGCACCTGTGTCATGCAGTGCATGCAAAGGTCAGAAGAAGACAGCAGATTCCTTGGAACTGGAGTTACAGACAGTTGTTAACTGCAAGAGCAGCCAGTGCTCTTAACCACTGAGTCACCTCTCCAGCCCCTGGGTTTGTTTTTTTTGTTTGTTTGTTTTTAATTATTACATTTATTTATTTGTGTGTAGGCACATTTATGCCCTTGCCATGGTATGCGTGTGATGGTCAGAGACAACTTGTAGGAATTGATTCACTCTTCCATTTGGGTCCTAGAGGCTTGGTGGCCTGTACCCTTACCCACTGGGCCATCTCACACTTAATCTTTCTGTATAAAGAAGTTGATTTTATATATATATATGGTCTTTTTGAGACAGGGTCTCCCTGTAGCCCCAGCTGTCCTGGAACTCACAGTGTAGACCAGGCTGGCCTTGAACTCATAGAGATCCGCATGCCTCTGCCTCCCAAGTGCTGGGACTACAGGCATGCGCCACCACGCCCAGCTCTTTTTTTTTTTTTTTTTTTTTTCTAAGAGAGATAATCTTACTAGGTAGCCCAAGTTGGCCTCTCCTTAGTGCCTTCCAAGTATATGCTCTTCGCTTTTTAAAATTATTTCCAAACCATGTACAGGAATTGAGGGCTAAACAAGACCCTCCGCTTTGGACAGTTGCTGCTTCAACAAAAGCATTTTGGCAGAAAGGTGATGAAGGAAAAGTAGGAAATGAAGACAGGAGTTCAAGTGTAGGTCACTCTTCCAGAATGTTCCTGTTCCTTTGGATCAGACATGGAGCACTCTCAAGTGAAAAACCTGCGTGGATCTGAGCTGAGTTTAAAGGGAGCCGCCACCAAACAGATTTGACATCTGTGGTGTCCACAGGAGGGATGAGTCGGCATCTAGGTGGGATGAGTGACTTAGAAAGGCATTAAGACAGGCACTTCTCCAAGATGAGTAAGAATTCACACAAATATTTGTGGAGAGGCTTAGGGAAGTTAGGGTATTCGTTCCTGTTCACTTCCCTTCTCTAGGACAGAGAACTGTGCATCTATCAGTGGTGGGAAGAGAAAATGTATGAGTTTTGTGTGCATGTATGTAAGTATACCCATGTGTGCAGTGTCCCTAGATGTCAGAAGAGGGTGTTGGATCCCCTGGAACTGAAGTAATTAATGATGGTTTGTTAGCCATGCTGTGGATACTGGGTTGGATACTGGGAACTGAACTCAGGTCCTCTGCTAAGAGCAGCCAGTGCTCTTAACCACTGATCCATCTCTCCAGCTTATAGAAGCAGGTTTCTTAGGGAAGGTCTGGGGTGGCAGCAGCCTCAGTGATAACCATTTTGCAGGTGAGAAAGCTGTTGAGAAGCAAATGATGAAGCACACACACTGTGTGCATAATGTTCTGTCTTCTTACAGGAACAGAAATGGATAGAAGCAGCTGGCAGAGAAGACACCAACAGAACCCAGCAGGCAGACAGCTTGATTCTAGTGAGAGGCAAGTGTCTGAATTCTGGAAAGCCAGCTTTGCCCAGTGCCATAGTGGCATCGCACAGTGCTCACACACGTACCTGCCCTCCCCTCAGTGAGTCTGGGGTCACTGTTGGCTCCTGAGGATGCTGCTGTTGCCAGCAACCCAGCCCTCTGAGCAGTAAGGGCACAGTCACACTTTTCTCTTTTTGGTCTTTTTGAGACAGGGTCTCCCTACAGCCACACTTTCATGCTTTTTCATTTCACAGTGACTGTGGCTTCTGGCCAGAGTGTCAACCATAAGGTGACTGGTAGAGTTGTCTGATACAACTGCAGACCTGCATTTCCATTTTGGAAACTTGGGAGAGGCAAAAAAACTATCAGGGCATATCAGTGTAAGTCCTAGGAAAGATCTTCCATAAATACATGTAATCATTAACATATATGTTTGTATGAATATATGTAATATAGCATTTATATAATGTGTAATCTTTTACTTGTATGTGATACAAGTCTTTTGGGGTTTTTTTGGTCTTTTTGAGACAGGGTCTCCCTATAGCCCCGGCTGGGCTAGAACTCACAGAGATCCACCTGTTGCTGTCTCCCAAGTGCTGGGATTAAAGGCATGAGTCACCACACCTGGCATTAAAATATTTTATTTCTTAGGCCAGGCGTGGTGGCACATGCTTTAGTCCTAGCACTTGAGAGGCAGAAGCAGGCGGATCTTTGTGAGTTCAAGGCCAGCCTGGTCTACATAGTAAGTTCCAGGACAGCTGGAGCTATAGGGAGACCCTGTCTCAAAAAGACAAAAAAAATTTTTTTATTTCTTCTTTTTATTTTGTGTTGAAGTGCACTCATGTTGTGCAATGCCTATGGAAGTCAGAGAGGGCATTGGATCCCCTGGAACTAGAGTTACAGGTGGTTGTTAGTTGCCATGTGGGTGCTGGGAATTGAACCCTCATCCTCTGCAAGAACAGCCAGTATTCTTAACCACTGAGCCATCTCTCCAGCCTCTGTTTTGGGTTTTTGAGACAGGGTCTCAAAACATAGCTGACCTGGAACTCACTATGTAGATCTCACCTGCCTCTTCCCCTTGAGTGCTGGGATTAAAAGTGTGCACAGCTACCATAGTCTGTCTAAGTCCTTTTTTTTTTTTTTTTTTTAGTATTTTATGTGTGTTAGTGTTTGGCCTGTATGTAAATATGTGCACTATGTGCATGCCTGGTGTCCTCAGAGACCACAAAAGAGTATCTGATCCTCTGAAACTGAGAGTTAACTGTAGGTTGCAAGCCGCCATATGGGTCCTGGAATCCAAACCCAGGTCCTCTGTAAGAGCAACAAATGATGTTAGCCACTGAGCCATCTTTCCAGTTTCTACAGGTCTTAATATCCACAGAAGTATGTAAAGAATAAAACGGTGACACTGCATACCTACCACCCATCTTAGAAAATAAAATCTAGACCATAGTTGAAGTCCCCAATATAAACATTTTCCACGTTCTCTTGTGGTGGAGGATTTTTATTTTTTGTTGTTATTGTTTTCTTCCATGAAGGAAGTACAAAGTTTTGTCTAAAAAAAAAAAAGATTCTCCTATCCCCCACCTGGTCTCAAGGAAGGAGCTCCCTGGACTCTGGTCATAAGAAGTCACCATATAGCCCTCAGTTTCGCAGGCTCCCTCTTAACTGAAGGTCATGTGTGCCATGTCTGTCCTATTTATTTAGTTTGAGGTAGGATCTCACTATATATCCCTGACTAGTCTGAAACTCAAAGAGATCGGTGGCCCTGCCTCTGCCTCCCAAGTGCTAGGATTAAAGGTATGGGCCACCATTCCCAGCCTTTTTTTAAATTTTTATTACATTTATTAATTGGAGGTGTGCGTATGCCGCAGCATGCATGTGAGGTCAGGACAGCTTTGGGGAGTTGGTTCTCTTCCACTGTTGTAGGTCCAAGGGATTGAACTCAGGTTGTCAGCCTTGACCATGAGTACCTTTACCCACTGAACCATCTCACCAGCCTAGTCCTCCTTTTAAAGTAGACACATTTCTGGGCCTAGTGAGATGGCTTAGTGAGTATGGGCACTTGCCACCAAACCTGACAATCTGAGTCTGTCCCTGGAACCCACATAGTAGAAGGAAAGAAGTGACTTCCTCTGGGTGTCCTCTGACCACCACACACATGCCTTGGCACATGAGTGCATACACACAAATATAGAAAAGGAGAAAAGGCTACATTTCTGTAGAGTTATACAATGTCAAATATCAAGATATTTTTCCAGAACAAATGAACCCAATTAGTAACAAAAATCTCCAAAGATTATAAGAGAAAGAACCAGGGCTGTGAAAGAGGTCTGCTTTACTGTGAAAATGCTTCATCTCCATAAGCCATTCTGGTTTTTATAAACCAGTGCTACCTGCTTCTTGGGAGAGAATGTGTGTAAAATCCCTGAGATGCTGGCTGGCTCTGCGAAGGCCCTCAGCACACAGTGGGTCTTGTTGGGTATAAATCTCATATTTCACCCACATTGTAGAAAGATCATCACTGCCCAGTGTTTTTATGTTTTGTTAGGAAAACTGAAAACTTTGGGCCCCAGGCCTTCCCACAAGACGTTTTTCTTTTTTTTTTAATGTTTTTTATTTTATGTCTATGCATATGTTTCCTGCATGTAGGTAAGTGTGCCCATGTCGTGCAGTGCCCACGGAGGACAGAAGAGGCTGTCGGATCCCCTGGAACTGGAGTTATGGACAGTTGTTAGCTGCCTTGTGGGTGCTGGGATTCGAACCTGGGTCTTCTGCAAGAATAGTCGGTGTTCTTAACCACTGAGCCATCGCTCCAGCCCCCCCACAAGACTTTTAACATGTAGCCAAATGTGATCTGTACAAGAGTCCCAGTTTTAGTAGAGTGGCTTGGAAACCCACAGGCACAGCCACCCTCTGGGCTCTATGTGGGAAGAATGGAGCACCAGTTCTTGGATGAGAAGGACTGACATTTGTCATGTCACTATCCATCCTCCTGCTAATCTCAGATGAGCTGCCTCAGGAAACTCTGGGCCATAGAAGGGAGGTAAGATGAGTTTCCCTGTAACTGTGCATAGCATCAGTATTTGGGAGACACAGACACTTTGCTCCTTTCAACCTGTGTTTTTCAAATTATGTTTCTGGGGCTGGAGAGATGGCTTGGTGGTTAAAAGCATTGACTGCTCTTGGCGGAGGACCCAGGTTTGATTCCCAGTACCTGCATGGTGGCTAGAACTGTCTTTACCTCCAATTTCATGGGACTCCAACACCCCCTTCTGTCCTCCACAGCACTGCATGACGTGGGTGCACTCAGATACATGTAGGCAGTACATTCATACACATAAAATGATAACAAAAAATTATGTTTCTGTTATTGTACATGTATGGGCGTAGGGCTTCCATCAGGATACTAAAATAAGGTCTTTGCTTTATCTCTGTATCTTTCAATCTGCAGTTGTCATGGAAGCCACTTCTGGCTTTACAAATCCAGTGTTTTAGCCATGGTTCCATCCTGATATTACTGAGGAAATTACCTCTGTTTCCTGAACCATAATTTCTCCATTTGTCAGGTTGTCAAAAAAAAGAACTGGGGCTAGAGAGATGGACTTGAGTTTGATCCCCAGAACACATTAAAAGCTGGGTGTGGAGTTGTGCACTTGTCATACCAGCATTGGGAAGGCAGAGACAGAAAGATCTCTGGGGCCCACCAGTCAGCGAGCCTAACCTAGCCTACTTTGTGAGTTCCAGGCCAATGAGAGACCCTGTCTCAAAAAGGGAGGCAGTGCTGTCATGGTAAAGTGCGCCTTTAATCTCAGCACTGGGGAGTCAGAGGCAGGCAGATTTCTGTTAGATCAAGGCCAGCCTGGTTTATATACCGCGTTCCAGGCCAGCTGGGGCTACAGGGAGGCAACAGACAAAAAGGCAGTACCTGAAGATTGACAGTCAGGATTGTCCTTTGGCGTACACAGATGCACACGCACACATGCACAAAAAGAATGATTGGCAGCTGAAGCCCTTTGCACAACTGTATGTCAACAGGTGTGTCACAGGGACACCAAAGAACCCGCAGGATTCTAGCCACCATGATGCTGATTCCCCGTCAACCTCATCCAGCACAGCTGGAGATTCTTCCGTGCCAGGTAGGCAGTTGGCTGGGTAGGGCTCCTGGCCCGCATGGGGGAAAACAAACCTCGTCCTGCCTCATTTCCCAGTTGTGTCTGTCCTGGCTGTCCTTCTACAGCCAAGACTTCCATGTGTCTCTTCACTTACATGGGAGTCATCAGCCCATTCCTGATGTGGAAAGAATTCTAGAAGCAAGTTGAAACTCTAGAGGAAGGAGCTGGGTATCAGGAGCAATGATCTTGGATCCTGAGGCAGGTGGTCTCCTGAACTCAATACTGACCATGACTGTCCCTCAGCCAGCAGAAAAGACCCATGAGTGGCAGTGGTCAGGCCCCTGGACTCTTTATTACATGGGTCAAGTGTTTTAAGTTGATGAGGCTTTTTTTTTTTCCTAAAGATCTACCAGGGTTTTACTTCGACCCTGAAAAGAACCGCTATTTCCGCTTGCTTCCTGGTCATAACAACTGCAACCCCCTCACGAAGGAAAGCATCCAGTATAAGAAAATGGAGGGTAGAAGACTACAGCTGCTGGACCAAGAGGACAAGCAGAAGAAGGTGGGACCCACTGCAGGTCACCCAGATCCCCACCTCCTGCAGCACCCATCTGGTGTGAAAGCAAGTGCCGGTTAGGTACCCTTTGACACCTAGTGTAGGTTCATTGGACTGCAGCGTGTGCGATTTTTTTTTTTTTTTTTCTGGCATGGAAATGAAGAAAATAGGAACAGGCGAGAAATCCCTGTTCCCACCCCTTTTCCTATTTGCTTGAGCTTCATTGGATGTTCTGTCATGTCCTTCCCCAGGAGAAACTTGAGAAACATGATTGAATCTTTAATTCTCTTCTTTTCAACATGGGGTTTCATGTAGCCCAGGCCAGCCTCAAACTCATTTACATAGCTGAGAATGACCTTGAACTTCTGATCCTCCTCTCTACCTCCCAGATATTGAGATTATAGAGTCAAGCCACTATTTCCTGTTTTATGTGCTACTGGGAATGGCACCGAGAACCTTGTGCATACTAGGCAAGCACTCTACCAACTGAGCCACATCCCTGGTACCGTAATCGAATTTTTTTTTTAATTTTTTAAAAAATATTTTTATTTTATGTGTATGCACGTATTGCCTGCGTGTATGTAAGTGCGCCTGTGTTGTGCAATGCCCTCAGGACAGAAGAGGCTGTCGGATCCCCTGGAACTGGAGTTACAGAGACAATTGTTAGCTGCCAAGTGGGTGCTGAGATTCGGTCCCAGGTCTTCTGCAGGAACAGTCAGTGTTCTTAACTGCTGAGCCATCTCTCCAGCCCCACCATAATAGAATTTCAATTACTGTATATTTTATATGTACCATCAGGGTGCTGGTTTGAATTCGAATGGTTTGGATGCCACCAGCAGTCTTGTGGACAGTTTTAGATGCCTGGATATTTTGTTGGTTGTGGGGGTACTAGAAGGGAAGAAGGGGAAATCCTGGCCTCAGAGTTACCTGGTGGATAGAAAGTATGGCACAGATCTGGGCATCTGGCCTTGCTCGATACCTAGAATGATGTGTTCATCTCTCTAGGTGTATAGTTGTCACTAGATTATACATTTAGACAGAGGTATGGCACAGACTATCCGACCCACAGGGCCTACACAGGGCTGGGTTTTTCTTCCTGCCAATGAGAGGATACTTTTAGAAGATACTGTCAAATTTTTACATGTATCATTTCTGTCCCTTTAGTTTTCCCTCATTGTGTCCTGTAGAACTAAAATACCCCTGTTACCCAGTCTACAACACAAATATATCTACATTGACTTTTTGCTTTTGTTTTGTATTTTGAGACAAGGTCTGTCATAGCTGGCTGTACTATGTCATTGAACGTACTGTGTATCCAAGGATAGCCTTGAACTGATTTCCTTTCTTTGTTTCCCCAATGCTGGGATTGTAGGTGTGTGCCACCATGCCTGGCTTCATTGAATTTTTTTTTTTAGAAAGTAACCAGAATGGGATTTAACATGTCTTCTATCCTACAAAAAAAACAGCTGGGTTTTCTCAACATCACCAGTTATTGCCGGTAAGACAATGCCTCATTTCTTCCTGAATGTTCTCTCTTGTTCCTTATTTCTGTGGTCTACAAAACTAGTCAGGAGAGACCTTGTGCTACTCTATGAGGAATCTTTATAGTCTGGGGCTTCCAGTCCTAAGAAACTGGTTCTCTCCTGAATAAGGGATAAAATTCAGGTAGGAGTCTGGTGAGAGAGGAGGGGATTTATACAGAAATTCTCAAGACTGTAGTCCTCATGGTAACTTCATTCCCGAAAGCCCTTCTCATGGGCTGTCACTAGATAGAGGACATTAAGTGAATATGTATATGTCCATCTAAATGTTGTGGTGAAGTCTGGGGATGGGAGAGTGCTCACCTAACATGCCTGAGACCCTATATTCCATCCCCAGTAGCTCAGAAAATTTTAATCTTTGTGAGGTCTGGGAGTAATTCGAACTAAAACTGATCAGATAGTTAATTCCCTCGCATATCATGAAAAAGAGACCAAAGTTTGCAGTGGTGGAATTTGCTCTAGGTAAAGCTAGAAAGACAGGATCTGACTTCAGCCCCTATACTTCTAACCCGTGTGCTCTCCTGTCTCCATGTGCCTGTGAGGCAGAGTACCCCTTCAGGATCAGCCAGTATATAGGGGTTTCACATAGAGCAGGTGTCCTGTATTTCCCTCCTGAGTGGGAACTAGAATCTAGGAGAGGCAGCCATGCTGTGGAAGAGGAAAGGGGCATTGAGGCAGTTTGCTGCACACTTAGACTCCTCATGTGACACATGCCTTCAGCAACCTCTCATCTCTCAGGCATTCTCCTCATCCCCAGAAAGAGTGGTAGTAGGTGATCATAAAGCAAATCCCTAAGCCTAACACATTGATTCTGGTTCAATTATCCTAAGGATTTAGAGCAGAACTCATATCAAGACAGAGTGGGAAGGTCAGGAGCCCACGTGTTTTCCCTTTTTAATTGTTGAAACTTGATCTCCTTGCTATGTTGCCCAGACTGGCCTTGAACTCCCATAGCTGGGACTACAGGAGCACACCTCTGTTTCCCTCTGTAGTTTATCCCATGAGCTGCGAGTGAGCTGCATGGAGAGGAAAAAGGTTGAGATTCAGAGCTCAGATCCTTCTGCTTTGTCAAGTGACCGGTTTAACTTCATTCTGGTAAGTGAGATGTGTCTGTGGGCATGCAGGTGTGGCTTCCATGGCCTGGCTTAGAGTTGGTCTTCGTCAAGCCTGGCCATCTAGATGCTAATTACTATTAAAACGGATAGCTTCCTTTTGGTTTGATGGTGGGTTGGTTTGGTTTTCTCTTTTATAATTTATTTTTTATGTATATTGGGGGGGTGGACATATGCCTGCAGGTGCCCACAAAGGTTGGAAGAGGGCATTGGCTCCCTTGGAGCTGGAGTTACAGGTAGGTGTGAGCCACCCAATATGGGTACTGGGAAGTGAACTTGGGTCTTCTGGGAGAGCAGCAAGGGCTCTTAATTTCTGAGCTATCGCCATCCCTGTTTTTTATTGGTGTTTGTTTGTTTGTTTAGATGGGATATTGCTATGTAGCCCCGGCTGATTTCTATCTCTTGACCTTCTGCCTTACCTAGTGCTGGGATTACAGGTAGGAGACACTGCACCCAGGTTTTGACTTGATAGTTTTAATGGATATGCTAGCTGCTGGTGGGCTGGCAGGGGAGGCTGTGCTGTCACTTGTCCTTTAGGCCTATCACGTGACATAGAGGCTGGGTCTAGCCACATGCTAAGAACTCTTACAGAATAACTTCTCCCTGGCTGTGTGGTAGATGCTGCTGAACAAATGCACAGTGACCCAGGGGACTTATAGCCCCTCCTAAGTAGGGGCAGGGTCAGTGTGCTATCAGCTGCAACAGAATACATTACCTTGCTTGCTGGCTGTGACCTTAGAGGCAGGGGCCTATATCATATCATGTGTGGGGAGAAGTTCTCTGTTTTACTGAGACCAAGGCTGAAAGTCAGGGTCAACTACTAGAGCTAAGGGATGGGCAAACATTGTCTTGGAGATAGAGGGTCCCCCTGCACATAGGGGAGCCTCCCCTCTCCATGAGCCTCCTGGTACTTGTCCTGTCAGGCAGGCTACATCCTTCCTGGCATCCAAGGAAAAGCCTGGGAGAATCAGATTAGGCTGTGGAAGCAGTGATCTTCTGGCAGAATGGGAGACCAGAGCCACAGATTGAGCCTTGTGAGACTGGCACTGAGGCCTTGTGCCCCAGGGCACCCTGAGAGCAGAGCCCTTCTGTGAAAGGAGTATTTTGGTCAGACCCAGATTCTCTGCTCTTGTAGCCCTCATGATTACAGTTTAATCTGAATCAGTAGGTACTTGGTTGCAGTGAGCCCTTTCCCTGGGGTGAACAGGTTGGTGGGGCGGGGGCGGGGGGACTGCAGGTAGATCTGTCTTCTCCATCACCTGGCATTACAGCTGACTGGCTGGCTGGTGTGGCCAGAGGGCTGGGAAGGATAGTTTGCTACCCAGAAGCAGTTTTTCCCATTGAATTCTCACAGATAATGGGTTTGTTCTGGAATATAACTCCCCAATTAAACAAGCAGCTTCGCAGCCTTCCCACTCTGTGTATATGTGTCTGTGCTTGTACACAGTAGCACATAGTTACATAATTAAAAATGATATATTATCAGCCAGTTTTTAGTTTGAAATAACAATGTTTTTGCTTGGGTTTATGTGTTTGAGTATTTGCCTGCATGCATTTATGTCCACCATGTATGGTCCTAGTGCCCATGGAGGCCAGAAGAGAGCATCAGGTCCCCTGGAGCTGGAGTTACAGGCAGTTATGAGCCTCCATGTGGGTGCTGGGAACCAAATTTGGGTCTTCTACAACAGCAGTCAGTGTTCTTAATCTCTAAGCAGTCTCTCCAGCTCCTACTTTGGGTTTTTTGAGACAAAATCTAAGGGTGCTCTCGACTCAGTTCTGCTCTCAGAACTCAGGCTGCTCTCAAACTCAGTTCTCCTGCTTCTGCTTCGTGAGTGCTCGGATTATGGGCACTGTGATGGGCTCTTAAATGAAAAAAGGAAAACATTAAAACAGTGCATATTACTGGGCATGGTGGCACACGCCTTTAATCCCAGCACTCGGGAGGCAGAGTGAGTTCAAGGCCAGCCTGGTCTACATAGTGAGCTGCAGGACAGCTGGGGCTACAGGGAGACCCTGTCTCAAAAAAGACAAAAAAAAACCAACCCCTGCATATTAACTTCTTTTGGAGCTACACCCTTAGCCCAGTGCTAGATATTGAATCCAGGGTCTTGTACATGCTAAGCACGTAGTCTGTCACTGATACACACCTGGTCTTGGGTACTGGAGTTTTTTTTATCTTACTGGTAATGGTAGTCTGTAGATTAGGAATATATTTTTGCTTTCTCTTTTTTAAAATGCTTTTGGTAGTGTATATTACATATTGTACATAATAGATTTGTGATGACATTTGCTGTTTTTTGAGGCAGGGTCTCCCTGTAGCCTCAGCTGGCCTAGAACTCACTATGTAGACCAGATTGGCCTTGAAATCACAGAGATCCTCCTACCTCTGCCACCCGAGTGCTGGGATTAAAGGCATGTGGCACCATACCTTGTTTTGTGATGACATTTTCAATATATATGATGCATTTTGATTATATTCTCACACACAAACTCTTCCTTGTCCCACTCATACTCATCCTCAATTTTGCATTTTTACCTATTAACAATTATAACTAATATTTTCCATGTCATTACATGGCTTTAATCATGGCCACGTGGTATGGTCTTCTGGGCCAACACTGACTTCTAAACCCACTTCTGAGGAGCCACTGAGGACCTCAGACTTCTGACCATGCCCTTCTTTGCCATCTTCATCTGTGCTCTAGAAGAGCCAGGACAGACTCTGAGCTTTGCCCAGATATCAGTCTACTGAACAGGAGAGTCAGGACCTCCATTCTCCCTCCTGGAAAGGAACTGTCACCTGGAAGAAATGCACAGAGCATGGAGACCAGGACAGATGGGAACCTGCCTGGCTCAGCCCAAGAGATCACTTACAGTCCATTTCCTTCCAGGCAGATACTAGCAGTGACCGCCTGTTCACAGTGAATGATGTCAAAATTGGAGGCTCCAAGTACGGTATCATCGACCTGCAGGGACTGAAAGTCCCCACGTTCAAGGTGCACATGCATGAAAACCTGTACTTTACCAACAGGAAGGTATGCCTTGTCTCTTCGACCTTCTAGCTTACTTGCCTTTGGGCCCAGGGTACTGCATAAGTTGTTGGTATGTGGAGAAGGGTCAGGAAAAGAGCATTGTGAAGAGTATAGGCACCGCATTCTCACTTTTCCACGGGACAGTTGGATTGGTAGTTTCTGAGAGCCCACAGGAAGAGGAGGGCTGGGGCTTCTTAAGTTGGAAGAGAAATTCGCTTAGGGGTGGGGTGGGTTGAAGGCAATGCACTTTAACTGGCCCTCAGGATGTTCTTTCCAGAGATCAAGAGTTTTATTGGAAGGGACATAGATCCTGGGATATGGGTTACAGTGATCATAGCCTGGATGGAGTCCTCCTCCCCTGTGCATCAGAATAATGCACAGACCAGCTAATCTGTCACCAGTAGGGTTTAAATAAAAGTCAAGTGTTCTCCATCTAGGAGCGTCCTTTCATTTGCAGTAGGGTGAGGCTGCATCTAAGAAGCCGTAAGTTTCTGCTCACGTGAATTATGAGCCACAAGATAGATACAGGTTGGAAATGGCTTGAGGAACCAGGCATGGTAGCTATAACCTCAGCACTCAAGAGGCTGAGACTGGAGGATCACCATGAGTTCAAGGAAAGAGAACAGCTTATGAGTAGAGTAAAATTCAAGACACCTTTAGGTTGTTTGTCTCCTGGCCCCCTAAAAGATAGAGAACACAGCCTAGCCTAGGGGATATACCATATATCTTAGTTTTTGGAACCCAGGCTGACATGGAGGAACTGAGGCCTGGAGTTTGCTTCTTTTCCCCCTCAAGTCCCAGCATGTCTGGGCAAGGTACTCTGCTAAGTTCACGATGCTCCTTCCAACCCTTTTAAAGAGCAGAACTTGAAGAAAGAAATCACATGTCAGGTTAAGGGGTAGCTCAGTGCTAGAGTGTTTATCTGGCCTGTGCAGAGCCTTGAGCTTGATCCCTAGTACTAGAGAGGGGAAAGGTCTCTATCCCAACAATTTTTTTTTTTAAGGTTTGTTTTTATTAATGATTGTATGCATGCACTGGTGCCTACGAAGACCAGAAGAGCACATTGGTTCCCTTGGAGCTGGAATCACAGGGTTGTAAGCCACCTGACATGGGTGCTGGGAAGTGCCCTCTGCAAAGGGCAGTGCTCATTCTTAACCGCTGAGCCTTTTTTTCCAGCCCCACTACAAGTCATTTTGTAGAAGAGCATTTATCATTGGTGTCATGAGTTGGCAGTTGACCCAGTCTTTCCCTCCTGCTTCCTCTCCAGGTGAACTCTGTGTGCTGGGCTTCACTCAATCACTTGGATTCCCACATTCTGTATCCTTTGGCAGGTGAAAATGTTTGGTGGATAGCTACATCCTGCTAAGGACCTAAGCCTCTACAGCTTTGAGATGGCATCTTACTGGCTGAGGGCTAGGCCGTTCTATACTTCTGTCTCACTGGGATAGACAGCATAGATTCCCCCGTTTGTAGTTGAGGTCAGGAGATGGCTGTTTCTAGGGATGCTGTTGAAGTCTCTGTGCCAAGCACTGTTCTGAGACTTGATGTGATAGCATTGGAGCTCAGGAAATCTGCCTCTAGAGCCCACCAGCCCTACCACCAGCATGTGACTTTGGGCTCTTATCCCCAGACAGACTCAGCATCCATGTCAGTACTTTGGCAGAAGAATAAAGCAGAAAGGACCAGCATAGTCCTAAGAAGGCACCCCAGTCCTGAGGTTGAGAAAATGTGGTTATTACAGGGGACACTGAGGACAGGGTCAGCAAAGGGGGTTCCTCTGACATTGAACACAGGACTCTAAGCCCTAGGACCTGTGGCTCCTGGAGCACTCTAGCTTCTGTCTTCTCAGAGAGCCAGCAGGGCTTTTTACTAGGACCACAGTAGCCTGTTGCAGTGGTGTCCGGGCCTTCCTTCATGTAGGATTGGTTTAACTCACATGTTCATGACAGTTGTCCTTGGTTCATTTCCTCAGCAAATGAATTCTTAAAACCTGTATGTTGTCATTGCCTTTGAGACTTCATGAACTGTCATGCAATTCTTTGAATGCACGTAGTGAAGTTTTCATTGGTCCTCAGCAAATGAAAGCTTAATCAGAACTTTTGGTTTGGGGGGCCTTTGGGTTGTTTGTAGTTTGTTTTGTTTTTCTTGTTTTGTGGGGATTTTGTTTTGGTTTTTTGATACAGGGTCTTGCTGTATAACTCAAGCTTGCCTCGGTTTCATAGTCCTGCCTTTGAAGTGCTAAGATTATGGGCCTGCACCCCTGTGCCCAATCTCATACTCCCTTTTGCATATATGTATTTTGTACACTGGTACACGTGTGCCACAGCACTCATGTGGAGGTCAGCAGACAACCTTGGGTCCTGGTCCTCACCTTCCACCTTGCTTGAGATACTCTCTTATTAACCACTGCATATGCCAGTCTAGCACGCCCATCTCATCCTAGGAGCACTGAAATTATCACACACCTCAGTTATCTGAACTCCAGTCTTCACACCTGTGTGGCAAGCACTTTACCCACTGAGCCACCCCGCCAGCCCTGAAGTTGCTTTTAAAGTTTCCTTTAGTAGCAGTGGGAGCTTAGACAGGCGAGGCGATACCACAGAGAGATGCGTACTCTAAAACTGAAGCAGGTAGAGTGGGGCATGATGGCGCAAGCCTTTAATCCCAGCACTTAGGAGGCAGAGGCAGGTGGATCTCTGAGTTCAAGGACAGCTGGGGCTGCAGAGAGACCCTGTCTCAAAAAGACTTAAAAAAAAAAAAAACTGAAGCAGGTTAGTAGTGAGGCAGGAGCTGCTGCTGCTGCAGGAGGAAAAAACACAAGCCTGAGAGGTCTAGCTTCTGCCAGGGAATCTGGTGGGGTGGAGAGAAAACAGGATGGAACTCAATAATTAGTGGTGAGAAGGAAGCCAAGAAAAAAATGTGCAGTTAGAAACAGGCAGGACTGGAGTGTTTTCCATCAGAAGGGCATAGGATGAGGTGAATCTAGAAGACAATGGAGATTGGAAGGTTGGGGAAAATCTCCTGCCTGGTTCCTTTTACATCATTTCAAAGTGTAAGGGGATTAGGGGGAGGCTGCAGAGATGGTTCCACAGTTAAGAGCACTGGCTGCTCCTGCAGAGGCTTGGGTTCAGTTCCCAGCACTCACATGGTGGCTCACAACCGTCTGTAACTCCAGTTCCAGGGGATCTGGTGCCCTCTTCTGCCTTTTACAGGCATTGCACAGCACATGTGTACTTACATACATGCAGGCAAAACACTCATACACAAAAATAAGTTAAAAAATTTTTTTTAGTTTAAGCAGTACTTCATCTCATGCATGGACAAGTATGCAGAAGTATTACACTGGCCCAGAAAAGCTCATACCACTTTGAAAAACAGCAATTCTCTGGGTAGAGAAGGATAAATGGACTGGGAGGTTAGATCTGGAAATGGGTATTGTTCTCTGCCCTACTTTGTTTTATAATTTTCTGAAGGATATATTGATGCCTATTCTCCCAAAGGGGAGAGGGCTTTACCTGACTGTCCTTAACAGCTTTTTCCAGGCTGTGCCTCATGGGCCTTGCAGGGACACCAGGCTGTGCCACTCTGCTCCCAGCATCGCTCTTTGCCAGTAATCACCAAGGTGTGTGGAGTCCTTTGCTTTGGGAAAAAAAAAAAAAAAAAAACAATGCTTAAAGAAAGGCCTCTGTTCTCTGAGGGTCCAGTAGAGGAGATGTGGTCACCAGAGGCTGAGTCACCTCGGTTTAGAGCATGGGGCAGGAACACTGGGCAAAACTGGCAGGTTCTCTTAAGTCTGCCCCCGGATCACTGCATTTTTAGATTTGCTGCTTTTCACAAACCCTTTGAGGTCGTTTCAGCAGCCAGAGGCAAGCTAAAGCGTGTGCACAGCCATTGTAAAACATCAAAACATGGTTTGAGCTGCTGAGCAATCATTCAGAATACACTGGTTAAGCTTCAGTGTGTGGCAGGCATTCTGGTTGGCTGGAGAGTTTGCCCATTCCTTCCTGGCTGCATTCTATGTGTTGTTTTCAGCCTTTCAGAAAGTTAAGCATCTAGGAGACAAGGTCAGCTCTAAGCATGAAGGCTTCAGGCAGAGCTGGCCCAAAGCTCAGCGCCTCCTCTCCTACACTCAAGATTGCCTGGCCTATGCAAGACAAGAGGCAGCGCGTACCCTGTCAGGTTCCACTTGGAATCGGATGAGGTGCATTTAGCCCAGTGCCTGGCATTTCACCACCCAACAAGCTTGTCTGAAGCAGGTTTGTCCTATCACAAACTTTGCAGTTATGAAACTGAGGCAAAGAAAGGGTCAAAATTTATGTCACAAAAACTCATTGTTTTAGTGTTAGAAGTTAGGATAATGATTCTCTTTGGGAAGTTGAGGTAAGGGTAGAAAGGGATATGAGGGAGGTTTCTGGGGCACTGAAGTGTCTTATTTCATAGCCTGAATGGTAGGCATGGGGCTGTATTCACTTTGGAATAACTCATGGAACTCCAGGCTTGTGACTTGCCCCTCTTGTTTGTTCTATCAGTGCAGATGTTTTGTTTTGAACTGTTTTGAGCACACAGTTGGTACTGGGACTGGGATAGAAACTACCTTCTCTGTTTGACGACACTGCCCCTGTGAGAATTATTAGCGTTGGGAACTGTACAGTCTGGACTATGAACAAGAATCACCCCTTGAACAGGCTTCCCAGCTGAGTCATTTCTCTGGTTGCTGCAAAGTCCAGAAAAGGGTGAAGGTAGAAACCCTGTCATAGTTTAGAGTTCTGGAGGCTGGGAATTCCCAAGAGCCCAGTGCTAGCCTCTGAGGAGGGCACCCCATGATGAAACCAAACCAATCAAGTCTTCTAACTGGGGTCTCTCTTCCTCTTAAGTCCATCATTGCCACCATGGAGCCCTGATCAGCATGACCTCATCTAATCCTAGTCACCTTCCAAAGACCATCAGCATATGACTTTGAGGGACTGAGTTTGCAAATACGAATTCTGGGAGACACCTAAACCAAAGCTTTTCCCAGTAGCTTCCCACCTGACCTGGGAGAATGGAGGAATCCTCTTTAGGCCTAGAAAGCAGCCTTGCTTTACTTTCTCTTTTTCTCAGCAGGTACTGACCGGCCTGGAATGCTCTGCAGTTTCCGGATCCCTGGTGCCTGGTCCTGTGCCTGGTCCCTAAACGTCCAGGCAAGTAACTGCTTCAGTACAGGTGAGTCATGGCACCTCTCCTTGTGCCACGTGGAAGACTCCACAAACCTGCTTGCTCCGCCCAGCAGTTCTTCCCAGACTGCCATCAAACCTTTTCTTACCAATCCTGTCTCCACCAGGTTTGTCTCGGAGGGTCCTGCTGACCAACGTGGTGACAGGACACCGGCAGTCATATGGGACCAACACTGATGTCTTGGCCCAGCAGTTTGTTGTCTCGGTTGGTTGGACTGGCAAGGGCATAATGGAGCATTCAAAGTATTTGGTGGAGTGAAATTAAATTTCCCAGGTGTAGCATCTAGGCCTCCTCTTTTAACAAAAGAAAAAGAAGTGTGGAAAGGGTTAATGAGTTGCTTTGTATGTAAATGTGTTGTAGCCAAGCAACAGTTGGCTCCCGTTTTGTTTTCATGTGTATAAGCATATCCATGTGTACAAGCCCACGGAGGCCAGAAGAGGTATCAGATCCCATGGAACTGGAGTTATTGATGGTTATTAGCCGTCATGTGGGTGCTGGGAGTGAACCCTGATCAGAGCCTCTGTTAAGAGCAGCCAGTGCGCTTAACCTCCTAACCACTGAGCCATCTCTCCAGCCCCAGGCCAAATCATTTTTTTAAAAATTTTCCCAGCACTTGAAATAGATCTCAGGTCTACCTAGCAAACTCCAGGCCTCCTAGGGGGGCTATGGAGATACTATCTCAAAAAACTTAAAAAAAAAAAGGTTGGGGATATAACTCAGTGGTGGCATGCCTGCCTAGTATTCCATCCCTGGAATCACAATAAAATACAATGTATGCCAGGTGGCACACACCTTTAATCCCAGCACTTGGAAGGCAGAGACAGGCAGATCTCTGAGGGTTCAAGGTCAGCCTGGTCTATATGGTGAGTTCCGAGCCAGCTGGGACTACAGGGAGAGCTCCCTGTCTCAAAAAGACAAAAAAAAAAAAAAAAAAAAAAAAAAAAATGTGTAAGTCCAATACTAATTCACAGCTCTTAACTAGTTTCATACATCACTTTTAAGTTAGACATTTTAGACACTTCAAAATAAAGTATCATCATTACTTTATTTCAAGTACTTATCTGAAAAAGATGCCACCTTTTTTCTCTATTTTCTTATTTTTTGACATAGTCTCACTAATGTAGACCAGGCTGGCCTCTAACTTGTAGGGATCCACTTCCTCCATCTCAAGTTTGAGTTTTAGGATTAAAGGCATTGAAGGCGTGTACCACCACCACCACACCCAGCCCATCTTTCTTTAAAAGAGTAAAGGAGGAAGTCCACTCTCTTGTGCTGTACAGAGGCAGAGCTGATCACTCAGTTATCTTCCCTGTGATTAAGACCCCACATCTCACCTAGTTGTCTGTCTCCAGCTTATCACCCCCACTTTCACTAAAGCCTTAATGGACACAGGGTACCGTCACCTGGGTTTCAGAGGAGACACCTAGGGAGACAGTTCCCCACAGAGAAGACAGTAGGGGAGACACAGGGTCCAAGGCTTTACCTTCTCATAAGGACCTAGCCTCATATCTAACTTCATTGAGACCTAAACCCTCACTAGTCTATTGAACCAGGTGCTCAGAACAGGCTTTCTTTGATGAGGACAGATCCTTATAGCCTCTTAGCACTGAGCTGTCCTCTCTCCACAGACTCCTTTGCTGTTTAATGGTTGTCGTTCTGGGGAGATCTTTGCCATTGACTTGCGTTCTCCAAGTCAAGGCAGGAGCTGGAAGGCCACCCGTCTGTTTCACCACACAGCAGTGACCTCTGTGCGGATCCTCCAGGAAGAGCACTACGTGATGGCCTCAGACATGGCTGGAAAGGTAGGGAACATTGACTCCAAGCCTCAGGAAGCCGGGGCACAGGCCCTGCCATCCATGGGTTCTATAAGATACCATGGTGCCAAGAAACCAGGCAGGGAAATTAGGGCTATCTTGGGAGCTCCTTTGCTGCCCCCGTGAACTTAATCTGGCCAAGATGGAAGTGCAGAAGGGCCTTTCTGGTTTCATGGTTTTGATGGAGTCACAGTTCAGGAGTTAAAGGTTATCAGTCTTCATAACCTGAAAAGGCCACTGGAGACCATCTCATCCTTCCAGCCTCACACCCAGTTTTCACTGGGGTCCTGCTAGGCCCTCCTGAGTGATCCTTTGTGCTTTGCCCCCCATAGATCAAGCTGTGGGACTTGAGGACAATTCAGTGTGTGAGACAGTATGAAGGTCATGTGAATGAATACGCCTACTTGCCCCTGCATGTGCATGAGGAGGAAGGAATCCTGGTGGCAGGTACGTGGGAAAGGGAGATTCCATCCATAAAATACTGTCTCTTAGGGCTCTAGCATCTTAAGCAGCAGAAAGTGGTCAAAACCGGAACTGGAAAATTGGAGGCTATGAACACCTGAGATGTCAACAGCTAGCCTCTGGACAGCCCTGTCACCATGACAGTGTATAGGCATCGCCTCAGAAATAGGCAGGTGGGGTACAGCAAGACACAGCAATTGAGGCCTTGGTTGGGGAGTCTGGCCTACTCAGGTCTGCAGGATCCCATCAGGCATCATCCTACCTGAAAGCCATTCGTTCTGTTCACATTTCCCTAAGTGGATGCTGAGAAAAGATAGTGAGGGTACGTGAGTGAATGTGGGGTTCCTGGTCCTTTTAACATCACCCACGATCTGTGGACTAGGAGCAGCTATTTGGCTACTGAGCCTGTGGAAAGAAGTTACAAATGGACTACAGTGCATATTGTTTCCAGGCCACAGTATGATAGCACAAAGTGTTTTTACATACGGAACAGAAGGCCCTTGACACGCTTGCATGTGAAGCCTCACATTTGCTGATGTCCCTATACAAAGTACTCATTCCCCATTAAAAGTTTGGTGGGTTAAGCAGCATCACTGTTAGAACTTTCTTCAACACAAGCACTAAACTTGCTTTTATTTATTGGTGTTTTGTGTGGCTTTTTGTTTTGGGTTTTTAATTTTAAAGACAGGGTCTCTCTATAGCCCCAATTGGCCTGGATGGAATTCACTACATAGATCAGGCTGGCTTTAATTAATCTCAGAGATCCACTTGCCTCTGCCTCCCAAGTGCTGGGATTAAAGGTACGTGCTACCATGCCCAGCCTTGAGCTTACTTTGAAGTTTTTTTTTTAATTTTTTTAAAAATTTTATGTGTATGAATGCATGCCTGCACATGTACCTTTGTCATACAGTGCCCACAGAGGACTGAAGAGGGTGTCAGATTCCCTGGAACTGGAATTATGGACAGGTTAGCCACTGTGTGGGTGCTGAGATTCAAACCCCGGTCTTCTGCAAGAACCACTCTTAACCACTGAGCGATCTCGTCAGCCCCAAGCTTGCTTTTAAATTTACTGTTTTCCATGTTTTCATCTCATGTGCCAGGTGGTAGACGAGCTATGGCTTGGTGATGTAGGGTAGTCATTCTCAGCCCAGGGTAGCACCATGGGGTCAGCACTAGGGTCCTGGAGCTGAGTGGTGAACTGTGAAGTCTGACTAAGACCCTAAGAACATGTGTGTGGCGTCTAAGTTGCTGTAAACTCATGGTGTCCTCTGGCACACTGCTCCGAACTCTTAAACCAGGAAGAGCTGTCATCTGCTCTCTCAGGATGTAACAAAGTTGAGAGATCTTCCTGGCTAATATTTCATCAAAAGGAAAACAGCTGGTTGCCTGGCCTCTGGGTGGGCTGGACTTCAGCCACGCAGTGCATTTTGTCAATTTGGTTACCTGCAGAGTTAGCATTCCAGAGGACCAGAGCAATCCAAGGTCTTATATTAGCAGCAGAAATCCATCAGTGGGTTGGGGTTTGGTAAAATCACATTTATCCCTGAGACCCTGAGGAACCTGTCTGCACGCGGTAAATTTTCCTTTGCATTCTAACTTACTGTATCTTCCCTCTTTCTTAGTGGGCCAGGATTGCTACACAAGAATCTGGAGCCTCCATGATACCCACCTGCTCAGAACCATACCTTCACCATACCCTACCTCCAAAGCCGACATTCCCAGTGTGGCCTTCTCCTCTCGGCTTGGGGGCCTCCGAGGAGCTCCAGGGTTGCTCATGGCTGTCCGGCAGGACCTTTACTGTTTCTCTTACAGCTAGTTTTGTATAGGCTATCTGGAGGAGGGGGTGGGAGCTTATTTCAGTTTTAAGTGGTACTTGATAAATAGGCTGCTGGGGACAGAGTGCAAAGAGGTTTACCTGAAATAACTGCAATAAAGTTGATGCAGTTGTGTGCTCAGAGCTTGGAAGTCCTTTTCATAAAAGGTACTTCCTTTTCCTATTGAGTTCCTTAGACATTTTTCTCCTTGATTAACAAACCACGCTGTCTTCTATGGGGTGAAAGTGGCAAAAACTAAACTAAAGCTGCTGCTTTCACCAGGCAAAGCCAAACAGTGAAATCATGTGAGTGCTCAGTGCTGCAACCCCAGGGCCTGCCTCTGTCCTGGAGAAAGGTAGCTGGGCTGTAGAGGAAAAGGCATGGTCTTGAATTTATCAAGCTTGGCCTTCTTAGACACTACCAGTGGACTTCTGGGATTCTCCTTCTGTTACTGTGCACAGGCCTTTCTTTAGGGTAAGGGACAGAAACTGTTCTGTTACAGTAACCTGAGTGTCAGTTTCATGTCAGTTCTAAAGGCCCAAGGTCAAAAACTTGGCTTTGGTTTTTTGTAATTTTGGAGCTAGTTTATGTAATATTTATATAAAGTATTAAAAGTCTTTTTTGGGGGGGCTGGAGAGATGGCTCAGCGGTTAAGAACACTGGGTGTTCTTGTAGAAGACCCAGGTTCGAATCCCAGCACCCACATGGCAGCTAACAACTGTCGATAACTCTAGTCCCAGGGGATCCGACAGCCTCTTCTGACCTCCACGGGCATTGCACGACACGGGTGCACTTACCTACATGCAGGCAATATGCGCATACACATAAAATTTAAAAAAGTCTTCTTTCTACCAACTAAATAAAGCAGAAAGAACCATTGTGTAGCATGTTGATTCAGAAGTTCTTGATGCTTGGACTGCCTACAAAAAACCTCTACTGTGGGGGGAAAGACTAAGAGCAGAACTTCAGGTTACCCTCCTATGGCTGCCCTGTTTTACACATGTCCCAGGAAGCAGACTTCTAGACTCCTCAGGCCTCCCGGGTGCCCAGCAGCTGGAACAGGTGCAGCCAGTGGGAATAATAAGCCAGAAAAGCAGAGGACAACAGGTTTTCCTGTTGGGACTGTGGGTGTCTATGACCAAAGGCCACAGCTTCTGGGTTCTAGTGAGTATTCTATTTTTTATCTAGCACTTTACAAGTATTCACCTGGTTCCCCTTACAGTTTACTCAGAACCAAACCCCCCAAATGGATGAGAATAATCAGATCTCTAATAGTTGAGCTATGAATTATAATTTTAGTGTTTCACATTTTATTTGTTCCTTCTAATAATAAAGGAGGCAGGACAGTAAATAGTAACCCAATTATTAGCACTTTACAGACATAACCAGGGCTTGGGGTGGGCACGTACAGTGGTACAGCATATGCTTAATGAGCAGGAGACACTAGCTTCAGTTGAATAAGAGCTGTTGCAATGCTAGACAGTGTCCACTTCTGAGCAAAGTCACAAAGATGGTAGGTAGCTCAAGACAGTCTGGGAGACACAGGCTCTTTTAGTTGAGGAATCTTCAGGACACTGAAAGGAGTAATCAGAAGAGATCAGGGCTTTAGAAATTCAGGCTATAAGAAAGGGGGGAGGGGAGTATCATCAGGATAAGATGACAGTGGATAAAATGGCTCAGTCCATGTGCTGAACTCTGCCAAGTACCAACAGATATGTATTCTGCTGGGCACAGTAGTACATGCCTTAAGTCCCAGCACTTAGGAGGCAGAGGTGGGTGGATTTCTGTGAGATCAAGGGCCAGCGTGGTCTACATAGCAAATGCCAGACCAGCTGGTGCTATAGAGAGACCCCGTCTCAAAAAGGTACATGTAGTGCCCAAGTCTTGACAGTTCTAAAGCTGAAAACGCAAACATGGTTGCCTAATTACCATTAAACCAGAGGCTTTTTCCTAAACAACTGGAAACTTAGCTCTTGGGTTCTCAGCTAGACCAATCAGTTTAAGCTGGGCCAGTTGTTGGCATAAAGCAGCATTCCTGTTGTTCCATGCTGTGAGCCTGAGAACAACAGAAAAGGTTGACAGCTAAGCCTTCCTGGTAAACAGCAGTAACAACATAAGGCAAAAGACCTCAATCTGAGGGCAGGAAAACTGCAGTGGACTCTGCCTTGAAGGCTGTGTGCCTGGCCTGGATGCTGACAGCTGCCTCAAGTCCCATTTGCCAGGCAGCTCTTCCATTTCTGAACTTGAGCCTAATTCCAGCTGTAAAACATGAGCACCACTGTATACCTTCCAGGCAGTGGAATGCGGCTAAAGCGCCTACACAGTGTCTGGCAGTGCAACAGGGACCTAAACGGTTTCTCCTCACTTTACCAATTCCCAAATAGGCAAAGTAGCTGAGATGAACCCAAACCAAGTATGTGTAAGATCCCCCTGAGCCACTGTTTAGGAGACTACAGAGCCACAGGCTGAGACCTCTCATCACAGCACTCAATGTCCTACAACTCTTCACCTATGAGCAAGTCTTAAGCATAGAAAGTTATTTAAAGCCTGTATGTAGCACCTGCCGAGGAAGGTGGGGGAACTGGCCTGTGCTACTGGATGTCAGGATAGTGTTTACCCTTGAGAGGGACAAGATGTTCCTGGAGTACAGCCATGCTGTTTCTTAATCTGTGTGCCAACTGGTTTTGTAGTATTCGGTTGGAAAAATTAATATGAAAGACAGTTGAAGTTTCTTTGTTCTCAACCCACATTTAGCTATCAGATATTTAGTTGAGGCTGGGATTTGATCATTGCTGGCTGAGACTGACACTGATACCCTTCCTTTCCTGTCCTGGTCTACGTAGTATGAGAAAAGGAATTCTGAACATCTTTCTGTGAGATTTCTGAGAGCCTTAGATAGGTGGTAGGCTAGAAATGTCCTCACCACGTGACTAGCCAGACTCAAACTCGGGTGCTCCAGCATGACGACAACAACCAAGTCTAACATGCCCAACACTTCACCTCTCCTCCCAAGCCATCCCCACCCTGCCCCACTCACTCAAAAAAAAAAGGGCCAGGTATGGTGGCTCATGCCTTGAGAACTAGCACTTAGTAGGTAGAGGTAGGTAGATCTCCATGAGATCTAAGCTAGACTGGTATACATACTGAATTCCAGTCCAGCTGGGGCTACAGGGAGACCCTGTCAGGAATAGGGGGGGTGGGGGAGATAGAAGAAAGAAAAAGGAACCTATGGAGCCCTCTGGTCACTACAGAGAATTCGAAGGCCCTCTACCACTTTAAGTAAAGGGATAGTTATACAATAAAGCTCTGGCCTCACTTGGTAAACTGATCTGAGGCATGCTATTTAACCAGGCATGGTAGTGCATACCTGTAATCCTAGCACTTGGGAAGTGGAGGCAAGATCAGAAGTTCAAGTTTGAAGATGGGAGAGGGGTCTAAATTTGCTTATTATTTGAAATGCACAAAAACTCTAAAAAATAGACATTAAAAACACACAAAACAGTTTTATGGAACTTATCCATGTTCTAGAAAACACTCTTATTTGTATACCTGAAAATATACACAGGCTAAATATTACCTACCTTAGACATACACCTCTCAGCTTGCTCTGCTGGCCACAAGCTATGCCCCCATCAATTGGAAAGAAGACAAGAGTGAGGTTTAGAGGAAAGAGCCAGCACAGTCTGCGTTCAGCAGGAAGATTCCTTTATGATGGTGAATGGATAATACACAGGTCTAAGAAGGACCAATCCATTCCAGGGCTCCTGTCCCACGACACACCCCCAGAAAGATTGACCATGCACCTCCCCAAGGCTACACCCACCCACCCACCAGTTCAATCAAAAATTATCTTGTTTTCATTCTTTTTTTGGCCATTGACAAGAAACTACCCTGACAGGATTTCAGCGTAACAGTCTTTCCAGTCATGACTGATGTGATGTCCAAGCTCATGATGACAAACATTCGTTCATTTATTTTTCTTGCAAGAACCAAAGATAAAGTTTTTCCTTATGCTCTGCTGAGAGTCTTATATATACTTAAAAAAAAAAAACAAAAACCCTAACAGTCCATTCCTTCCCAGGAAGGTATCTCATGATAACCCCTCCAATAGACAGGATTTGCACGTCTGGAAACAAATAGTAAGACACTGCACGATAAAATTCTAGTGTGACACTCAAGCAGATTGGGGCTCCAGGGGCAGAGGGGAGGTGGCAGGTTCTCACTTAGGAGCAGGGTGTAGCCTTCTAGGAAAGCCTGGTGGAGACTGACAGAAGCATCAAGGAACAGAGACCTCTAGTGTGACACTCAGAAGCAGATTGGGGCTCTGTGGGCAGAGGTGGCAGGTTCTCACTTAGGAGCAGGGTGTAGCCTTCTAGGAAAGCCTGGTGGAGACTGACAGAAGCATCAAGGAACAGAGACCCTTCGGGGAGACCAGTTCCTTCGGGGCTCCCCTTCTACAAGGGACACCACAAGCACCTGCATTTTGATTTTTAGGGTTGAAGACCCTACTTCTGACCCTCCGCACACACACCAGTGGCTTACACATGAAGCTGGGTGATCTCCGACAGGCTGAAACCAAGAACTGGGGTTCACCTCCCAGAGGGCTCAGTAGAACTCTCCTCAGGCTGCTTCAAAAGCAGGAGAAGCCTCAAATCCAGGCAGCAGGGGACAGGAGGAGAAAGGGCCAGAGGGATGCTGCCAGGCTTAGTAGCAGCACTAGGCTATGAGCAACACAGTGGTTCCAAACCTGGCTCGCTTCATGGGGAAGACTTGCTGCCACTGCCACCTTATCCCTGTGCTGTGGACACACTGCATTAAGTCTTCGCAGAAGCAGCTTCAATATATTCCAAATCCCCTTTATATGCACATATGGAGATATAGATATATGTATTTATTTTTAACTGAAATAAATGCAGTAGATTCAGGTTCCTTGCCCTTTTCTGAGAGCTGAGGGGTTCATGCCTTTGGGCCTGCCGCCAACTCACCCCCACCAAGTAGGGAAAGTGCCAGGGGATGTGAGAGGAGAGGAGACACCACAACAGGTGACCGGAAGGAGGGCCTACCTCAACGAGACTTCTGTTTCTAACCCTGAGAACCTAAGGAATTGTGAAGGACTCGAAGAGGGAGCTGGGGTTAAAGGTCACCGGGCTTTTTATTGCAGTTGAAGCAGACTCGGACAGGATGGTCCCAGCCACGAGAGGGGACAGCCCTGCGGTCATGGGAGCACTCATCACAGAAGCCCTGTCCGCAGGCACGGCAGTGGTGCTTGGAGAGCTTGATGCTGAACTCCTTGTGGCAGTTGTGGCAATGCAGGATCTCGTGGTCTGGCACCCAGTAAGCTGGCCTGGCAGCATCCTTCACCAGGCCTATAGGGGGGAAGGAACATGGATAGTCAGGACACTGGACCCCTGTCCCCTGAGTCCCAGCTGGCAAGAAGACCTCTCCAACACTCACTGACTTGTCATTCCAACTGCACGTAGAAATCACTACAGTGCTTTATTTTTACTCATTTATTTTGAGATAAGGGCTCGTGTAGTGAGGACAAGCCTCAAACTCACTATGTAGCTGAAGATAACTGTACTTCTGGTCCCCTACCTCTACTTCCTGAGTCTCAGATTATAGATGTGCACCACCCCATCCAGTTTATGTGGTGCTAGGGTTTCAGGAATGCTAGGCAAGCACTCTACCAACAGAGCCACATTCCCAAGCCCATTACAGTGCTTCCTAATTTTTAAAAAAATTGTGTGTGTGTGTGTGTGTGTGTGTGTGTGTGTGTGTGTGTGTATGTTGGAGGTCAACTCTACGGTGTCAGCTTTTTCCTTCCACCTTAAATGGGTTCTAGGGATCGAACTCAGGTTGCCAGGCTTGCATAGCAAGCACATTTACTAGCTGAGCCATCTTGCCAACCCCAACAATGCTTTTTAAAAATCACAGCAGGGCCTGGTTCCAAACGTGAGCTCTTAAAAGCCCTGAAACACCATGAAGTCCAATTACCAACAGAATTATCATGTGGAGAGGCCTAGAGAATACAGAGAGGACATGGGATGCTTTGCTGAGCTCAGCTTCTAACTGTCCCTCTGAAGTAACCAGAGTGTGAGGTATCCAACTTTGACCTTCCAGACCAGTCAAAATGCCATCAGACAAACTGCAGGGCAACCCCATGAGAAAAATAAATTAGGCTTCCTGAGCTCTAGACTCACAATATTATAAATGAAAGGTATGGAATGGCCTTTTACACTTCAAGTAGCCTGCTATGTAGCAAGAGATGTGGGTGGGATGGTCTCCCACGTCAAAGGAATGGTCTCCAGGACTAAAGATGAATGGATGCAGCACGAAGTAGTACGTGTAAAGCTTTCACTGATTCCTGGCTACCTAACTCAAGCTAGTCATCAAGCTTTGTCAAAGTGACCATCCAAGATATTCTGACACCCCTCAGCCCACACGCATCACATCCCAGAGAGGCACTGCCCAGGCCCACCTAGTGGTATGTCAATGGCTGTCACCACAGCTCCCAAGGTGTTCTGCACAGCCTCGCCCACCTTCCGGGCAATCAGCGTTCCACCTTCTTCATCTGCCTGTGCCTCGGTAACATCTGTAGATAGTAAGAGCAAAGCTGTTGCCTCTCAAATGGAAAGCTAAGGGGACCATAGTGGAGCACTTCTGGATTCTTCTCCCTGGACCACTGTGCTGCTTCATAGTAACTGCAAAGAAGCAGGCTAGGAGTAGAGTAGCAGTCAGCCCAAAGAGTGAAACCAGATGGCATTTGTGCCTCCAATTCTAGAATTAATTTACAACTTTCTTTTAAAGTCAGCCAGATTGGTTCTGGGAGCATGACTCAGAACTTTCTCCAAGCAGAGGACTCTATCTAGGCCATCTCTGGCTTTCCAGAACTCATCAGCTAAATGTGGATCTTTTTCTCTCAGAAGCACCTCTGAACTCAGAGCTCAGCTCAGGCCAGGCTCAACCCAGTCCTCCAAACCCTCCCACAGCACTATGCTAACATGGAGCTGTAAGGATACCTGGCCATGGCCAAAGGAGCAGCTGCTCTCGGGAGAGTAACATGGCTGTAGCAGTGGGCGCCCAGTTCTCAACTTCCATTGAGTGCAAAGAAGGGTAGTTCCCTTTCCACCCTTGCAGCTTCTGAGCCCCACGTTACCTAACTGGACATTCCTAGCGTCGTAGCAGTTGTCACACACCCGCACAGGCGCAGGTCCCCAGCCCCGCTCGGGCACTGGCCGGGTCTTGGATGAACAGCTATCGCAGAAGCCCTCCCCACAGGCCCGGCAGTGATGCTTGGTGTCGTTGTCTTTAAAGGATGTCGCACACTTGTTGCAGTTCTGTTTCAAGCCCAAAACAAAACAGAGAGGGAGGAATCCTACATGTCTGCTCAGCTGAGAAAACTACCAGAACCCAAGGGGAGCTAGAAACTCCTGGGGCTGAACCGAAGGTTTCTAGTAATAATAGTTCCATGAATGCAGAGAGTTTCCTATCACAGGTGTTTGGGCTGAAGCTCAGTACCCTAGAGATTTGTGGATCGAGCCAAGAATGACCTTAAGATGACCTCAAAAAGGCTCCTTTCTACAGATTCTGTATCTGTAATTTCAGACACTGGGGCAGTATTAACTGGTCCTCACAGGTAAGGAAACAGAATCTATCACAAAGAAAATACTTGCAAAACAACAAAAGGAACTCCGTGAGCAAAGAAGCAATGACCTCAGTTCCCACCCTTTTCAGGATTTTCAGAGCCAACTATACAGGGGGAAATTTTTGCACCTCCCTCTTGGAACCAGCTTAGTACCAGACAAAGTGGCATAAGCAGGGGGGACTATGCCAGAACTCAGGGGATTCCCACCATAGCATACCAGGATCTGGGAGTTGGGCCTCCAGTAAGCAGGGGCAATCTGGTCTGTCAGCCAGGAAGTCACAGCCTTAGTGGGCCCAAGACTAAGCTCAGACACTGACTGAGCCATGAAATTCATCCCATCCAACAGACGCTGGGCAGCATTGTTGTTGTCCTTCAGAAATGCATCGGTCTGCAACAGAGACACATCAATCTTTGAGAGATGGAAGGAGAGAGAGAGCCATCTGGGGCCAACTGAAAACTGTGAACTACTGGGCAGGGCAGAACAGAAACAGACCAACAATCTCTCTGGTCTCTAGGCAATATCACCCCCACCAGTCAGCACTGATATATTCTCATTGGGGTGACAATGAGGCCTGATGTACTACTGTAAAACTCAGAACTTACTCTGCCTTCACAACACAGGAAGTGATGTCTCCTATAGAAAGCTCTCACCCCCAGCTCAACTAGGAATCCTTCTTCCCAGGTCTTCTAATATATGTAGATCACTAAGCTTCCTATTTCTATAAGTACAGTATCTATTATGTATCTGACTCCTTGCTAGATCTGAGCTCTCTGAGAATAGTTACATACCTATTTCCAAGTATCTAGCTCAATTCTGGGCACACAGTACTTTAAGAAGTACTTTGAAATACTGGGTGAAGAATGAATGAATGGGCAGACAGAGAATGTAAGGCATTTTGATTGCAAGGACTGTAAGGAATATAGCCCAGGAGTAAAGCACAGCCCTGCTGTTCTCTTGGAATAGAAACTAAGTCACTACCTTACTTTCTTGCTTTTCAAGGCCATGTTAAATCACTGAGACAAAATGGCCTACACCATAAAGTCAAAAGGGATAGACCCCCAAAAGGAGATCACATAGTAATAAAAGACTTCAGAAAAACTAGAAATTAGGGAAGAGGGGAAGGAAAAAAAGAAATCAGAAAATCCTTAACTCTTTGTTTCCATATGATCCAAGAAAGCTCACAGGTGGATATGCAGACAGGACAAGACTATAATTCAGATCTAGAATGCTCTCTAAAGGCCCACATGTTAAAGGTTTGGTCCCCAGCTTGGCTCTCTTAAAGGGTGCTAAAAATTAAGAGGTAAGGTCTATTGGATTTTAGGTCATTAGGGATATGCTCTTGAGGAATATGGCATGCTGGTCTCTTTCCTCTTTTGATTCGTAGCTATAAAGTAAACTGATCTCTTGCACCACATGTTCCCACCATGTCCCAGCAATCAGGAGGCAGAGGCAGGCAGATCTCTGTGAGTTCCGAGACCAGCCTGGTCTACAGAGCGAGTTCCAGGCCAGCTGGGGCTACAGGAAGACCCTGTCTCAAAAAGATCAAATAAATAAATAAATGAATAATAATAAAATCTCCTAGAAATAGCTTTTTTACATGAAGATGGTCACTAAAGTCTTTTCATTGATAATAAATCATAAAGGACATAAACACAAAAAAATAAGGAAATAGTGAATCAAACTATAGCACTGAACCAAATAAATTGCATTATAAGAAAAAGGCAAAGGGGACTGGAGAGATGGCTCAGCAGTTAAGAGCATTGGCTGCTCTTACAGAGGACCGGGGATCAGTTCCCAGCACCCACGTCCAGAAACTTCAATTCTAGGGGATCTGACACCCTCTGTAGACCAGGCTGGCCTCAAACTAACAGAGATCTGCCTGCTTCTGCTGGGATTAAAGGAGTACGCCACCACACCCGGCCCAACGCCCTCTTCTAACCTCCATGGGCATTCTGTACTCATACACATAAAATAAAAATAATAAAAATAAACCTTTTTTTTTTAAAAAAAAGAAAAAGGCAGAAAAAAATTGCATGTAAATTACAACTGGACTGGGAATGGTGGTGCATGCCCACAGTCCCCGCTATTCAGGGGGCCAAAGCAGGGGAAGTCATTTGAGCTCAAGAGTGCAAGGCCAGCCTGAGCATCACAGTGAGGCCCCATCTCTAAACAAACAGTAAGTATATCTATAAAAACAAGTACATATGCATATGGAAAATGAGAACATTCAAAGCTGTGCTCCTGACATTTATGCAAGAGGAAATAAAAAAAATGAAGAGCTGGAACAGGTAAGGCTATACAGATCAAGTCTTTCTAAACCATCAACGAGCTGAAACTCATGGTTGACCTTCCTACTGTGAGCACACTCCACTTGTCCCCATATACAAACAAATAACTGGACAATGAAAGAGAAAGGAGGGAAGCCAATGGAACAGTTCTTACTCCAGGCCACACATGTACAATCTCTGTCCGCACCACCGTATCCACAGGATCTTGGTTCCCAAACCAGTACTGCCGGCTCCGATAGACCACACCACAGTTAGGACATTCGATCACATACCTACAAGGAGGCAAGGAAACGCTGTTACTCTGCCAGGTACTGGAGAGGAAAAAATAACAGAAAAACCCTCTAGCTACATTATTTAGACTCACCCAGACCAGGCGTACTTTGCAAGACCCATCCAGGGAGAGTCAGTGGAAGCAGAAGTTTTGGGCACCACACTGACTTCCTTGCCTCTCTCATAGCAGGCCTGAAACATGGAGCACTCTGCCAGCTTATTCTAAGCACACTGGACCCCATGACCTCTTCACATGCTCCCCCCCCCCCACAAATCACACCAGCTGAGGGTCACATGCCCTATGTTTACCTCCTCAGAAGACAGTTCATTTCTCTAAAGACAGTCCCCTGAATGATAAGGAACTGTGCACACAGCCCAGGACCCAAAACAGACCTCTAAATTATACACCTGTCATAGTTAGGAAAAAAATCCATCAAAACTGGTTTCCTGAAAAGCAGTTCTACTCAGAGGTAAAATGAACAGTCAATGTAGATAATCCCTACACACAAGCACAACAGAATGAGGGGAAAATAAGCTAAAAAAAAAAAATCAAGACATGAGTCTATTTGGTTTGAGCTGGGAAAGGTTCCTCCTCCTCCTCCTGCTTTTCCTCCTTTAGGATACAGAACGAGCAGCCCAAGACAATCTTTCCAAAAGAAGTGCTCAACCAGCAAGCCAGCTGCTGGAGCAAGGAAGGGCTGGGAGGACTCACCTTGCAGGTGTAAACTCGGTTGTCGTACTGGTGTGAGTACCTGCAGCGGCTCCTGGCTTCATGAGGCACTCCTTCCTTGCCATGATTCATGCTGTTCTTGCATCCCACTCTGAGAAGCCAAACACTGACAATGAGGGGCTAAGGAGACAATGTCAACTTGTACAAACTGTCTGACCCTGAACAAGGCACAGGGTCAAACCTGGACCTGCACTCCTAAACATGCAGGGAGTAGTTTATTCACAAGTTCCTATGATACCTGTAATCAACAGCACAACAGAGACACAGCAACTATTACCCTAAATAGGGGAAAAGAAATCTCGGAAAAGCAACCTGGGTCCTCAACAGAAATGGAGGAGACAGAAGACTCTAACTTGACCAGAGATGAAAGTTTGGGGGTCTTGGGACCCCAAGAAACTAGAAATACAAGAGGGATGAAAAGGAAAATTAAACCAGAATAGGCCACCAACATGTAAAAATGAAAATCAAGTCCCCAAATTGGGCCATGTATCCAGGAGAAACTTAATGCTGAATCACAAAAACTTCCCAAAGAACAGTGAGTGAGCTTTGCCATGCTGACAAGGCAGAACCAGATCAGGACTTTAGGATTTCATTGTAATGACAGAGGAAAATCTGGAAACCCTGCACATACTCAGAATGGAAAACTCATGAGTCAACAGTGCTTAAGCCCCTCATGCTGGACTCAGGCAGAGCAAAAAAAACTTCTGAAGGAAGTCATATGGGCAACTAATATCTCTTCCTGGTCCCAAGCTGAACTCTCTAAGAATGTCTTTGAAGTTTCTCTCTACCCTACACCGTAAAATTCAAGAGCTAAGACCCAGGTCAGAAATGATTCTGTACCCCTCAGATGGGGCACAGGGCTCAATGCCAAATGGTTATTCATAAAAGTGCATTCACGCTCTTCCTGTAGATGAGCAATAGTGGAGGATATGGGCAGTGGTCCTGATATGAGCAAAATAATTTAGTGGTAAAAGGGATTCAGAGTACATGGAGACTACAATCTAACCTTGACATGCTGCATTTAAATCCCTTGGGATCCATCAGACAAGTAATCAGACTGTGATTTAATTGCTTTCAACAGTTTAAACTGATAGTGATCCTAAGGTATGGTCCCTACAGGCAGCGTCAACATCACTTTTTAATTTATCAAAATCATCAATTCTCAGGTCCTTCTGCAGACCTACTAAATCTGAAGCAGGTTTAAGCAATGTTTAGCACACTCCTCAGGTTCCTGTGATGCATGCTAAGATCTGAGAGTCATTTCTCTAATCCCTCTGTGACTAAGTGGGCTTCACAGACCAGTAACACAGCATCACCCTGGAACTTGTTCAAGGTATAGAAGAATCTCGGGCCCTGCCCAGACCTACTGATCCAGAGCCTGTATTTTAACCGCTCAAGGTGATGCAGTTAAAAACTGAGGAGAACTGTTCTAACTCAATGATCTTAGCTTAAGGCATAGATTAGAATCTTCTGCAGAGCCTTATAAATACACCATTGCCAAAGACATACTCCAAATTCAGAATGCTCCTTAGAAAATTCTACTGTGCTTTAAGCATCTGTCTTCATAATGAAAAAAAAAAAAAAATCCCCTAGGACTGATACCTATCACAGAGCTTTGCACACACCTGGTGGAACTGGGGGTGGGGCGGTGGGAGTAACTATACTGTGAAAAAAAAACTACTGAAATTTTTGGTTAAAGAAACAGAAACACAGGCAACCCGAAGTCTCCTGCCATAAAAAACTGCCCAAACTGGAAGCCAGTCAGCTTCTTATCTACACTAGTAGAGGATTCTTCTAAAAATGTACTTTTTTTTTTTGGAGACAGAGTCTCCCTATAGCCTCAGCAGACGTGGAACTCACTATGTAGCCCAAGTTGGCCTTAAGCTCACAGAGATCCACCTGTCTCTGCCTCCTGAGTGCTGCGATTAAAGGCATGTGCCACCACACCTGGCTCCAAACACGTACTCTTGAAGCCCTTACTGCCTCATAGTCCCCCAAAGTACAGACCACCAAGATCACCTGGGAACTTGTCAGAAATACCCTACCTCAGGCCTTAACCTCTGAACACTTATTTTTTTTAATATTTATTTACTGATTGATTGATTGACTGATTGATTGATTTAGTGTGTGTGTGTGTGTGTGTGTGTGTGTGTGTGTCTGTGCATGAACCCCACAAATGGAGGTCAGAGGACATCTTGCAGGAGTCAGTTCTCTTTATCTCTCTATCAAATGGGTTCCAGGGATTGAACTCCTGTCATCAGGCTTAGCAACAGCCACCTTTACCTGCTGAGCCATCTCATCAACCCAGTCAATGACCATGTATTTAATCAGAGTGTATAATTTAACCAGCCCTCAGGTGATTGGGACACACCAAGTCTTTGCCTTTAGTTCTGGTGGGAGACCACTTACCCACAGCTGAGGCACAGGGAGGAGCAGGTGAAGTACTCATCTGGAAAAAAGGAGCTGTGCGCCATTTGGTCATCAGGGATATCGCCACTGAAGCGGTCGCTCAGTGCCTGCCAAGGAGGGAAGGTGATACATGAAGGTCCTCAGCAGACAGCCTGGGCTTTGGCCCTTCTCTCACCTTGCCTTTCTAGGTTCATCTGCCTCACTGCTAGCAGATTTCTCACAAGTACCACAGCGGAAAAGGGAACCCAATAACTGATGTTTATTACTCTTGACCCTGTCCCAACTTCACCAGTCCTCACCACAGTAAAGCTGGAGATCCAGCCCATTGCCCTAAAAGATCAGAGGTAAACAAAGGTATAGTTTTCTCTTAATTGCCCTGGAAAACTATAAACATCTCACACATACAGCATTTTATTGAAAACCAGCACAAATATTGACAAACGCCTATTTCATCTTTGTGAAAGTGGAATCATAACAGACTGAAGGGCAGGAGCCAAGAAATCCACTGAGAGTGTCCTGGGCTTCCATCCCAGTTCCAACCACAGGCACCCCATGGAGTTCACCAGGCCACAGAACTATCTCAACATAGAAAAAAATGTCATCTGTCAAAAAAGTAGGTAAGAATGACTATGGTGTTTCACAGTCATTTATCACTCTATTAATGTACAAGTCGCCAAACAGCCAAAGCAAAACCAAAATGAAAGATCAAGTACTTGAGAAGCAAAAGGAAAAGTTCCTATGGAAAGGAAGCTTCCATTTCAAATCCCCTGATTCCACTCATTACTTTGCATCTGAAGTATTCTTCAGGCTAATTATACAAATGGGCTTCCTGGGTTTTAAGTCATTCAATACATTGTTTCCAGCTGCTCTGAGGCAGCCAGACGCTACCCAGGGAAGAGAAGGGAAAGTAGCCTAAACCGGAAGAGCTGTTATTCCTCTAATGAAGAAGCAGAATAAATTTTGAGAAATACAATATAAGGATGATTAAGTGGAGTTTTTCTTGGTGGCGGTGATATTTTTGAGACAGGGAGGAGCAGGTGAAGTACTCATCTGGAAAAAAGGAGCTGTGTGCCACTTGGTTATCAGGGATAGCCAGCCTGATAGTCCAGGCTGGCCTCAAACTGTATAGCTAAGGCTGGCCTTGAACTCCTAATACCCCTGCCTCTACCTGCCTAGTGCTAGGATTACAGGTGTGCACCATTATACCTGCCTCCGGGTTAGGTCTTAAATTTAAGTTCTTTAAGAGTCTCAATGAGAGATTTTTTTTTTTTTTTTAATGTATATGTGTGTAGTTCCTGCATGTAGGTAAGTGCAATGCCCTTGGAGGACAGAAGAAGCTGTCGGATCCCCTGGGACTGGAGTTATGGATAGTTGTTAGCTGCCATGTGGGTGCTGGGATTCGAACCCAGGTCTTCTGCAAAAACAACCAGTGTTCTTAACCGCTAAGCCATCCCTCCAGCCCCAAGAGATTTTTTTTAACTATTTTATTTATTTTTTTATCTTTTACTTTTTTAATGTGCATGAGTATATTGCCTGGATGTATATGAGTGCACCCATGTCATACAATGCCGCGGAGGTCAGAAGAGGGCTTCAGATTCCCCTGGAACTGGGGTTAAGGACAATTTGTAGCTGCCATGTGGGTGCTGGGAATCGAACCGGGGTCCTCTGCAAGAGCAGCCAGTGCTCTTAACCGCTGAGCCATCTCTCCAGCCCCTTGAATGAGAGATTTTTAAGAATATTTATTATTAGCTGGGCATGGTGACACATGCCTTTAATCCTACAATCCTAGCACTCGGGAGGCAGAGGCAGGCAGATCTCTATGAGTTCAAGGTCAGCATGATCTACATAGCAAGGTCCAGGCCAGCTGGGGCTACAGGGAGACCCTGTATCAAAAAAAGAAAAAAGAAAATACTCATTTTTATTTTTTATGTGTATGAGTGCATTGCCTGCATGTATATAAGTGTACCCATGTCGTGCAATGCACACAGAGCTCAGAAAGAGGGTGTTGGATGCCCTGGAACTGGAGTTACAGACGGTTGTTAACTACCATATAGATGCTGGGAATTGAACCTGGGTCCTCTGCAAGAGCAGTCGGTGCTCTTAACTGCTAGGCCACCTTTCCAGTATGAGAGCTTATTTACTCCTTTCCTGGGATAGGGGTGTGTGGGGAGCCGCCTGCCATCCCTGCAGACGCCATTACAAGATGGCGCTCACATCCGGTTCATGCTGAGCAGTAAATAAGTCAGTACGCATGCCCGAAGTAATTTTCCACCTTCTAATCTCTGCCTACCTCGTGGCGTGATATGGGCTGATGAGTTTGCGACCAATCAAGAGTTGCCACGTCCAAGACGGGCTTACTAACCTATATAAGGGCTGGGTTTCCGACATTCGGGGTCTTCGCCCTGTAAGCTTATGCTCTCCCTCTCAAGATGCATTAAAGCTTTTCTGCAGAAGGATCCTGAGTGTGCCGCGTCGTTCTTGCTGGCGAGACGATAGCGCAGGACAACTGGTGCTGAGACCCGGGAATTCAACCAAACCATCGTCAGCACCATCGGAGACCCCTTGAGTTCAAGGAGGATTCAGAACTGCAGGTAAGGACGTTCAGAGAGGTATGTTTTTTCTGGACTTTGGCTTGAACCTGTTTCCGCTTTGGAAAGGTAGCTTTGAGGCCTTGGTTATCATTCTGGGAGCACTTATAGTTTTGTTGTATAAAACATGCCAGGCCGTTGTGGCGGAAAGTCGAAATGTTCTTGAGGAAGTCCAGGATAGCATGTCAGAAACTGAACGCAGTGAGAGGTTAGGTGCACGAAAAAAGAAACGGGCCCCAAATAAGGAAA